TGGCGAGATGTGCGCATAGCAATATCGATCGCCGGGCGGTCACATCTTGCCACGCGCTCGAATTGGGCGGTAGGCCGGCCTAAGATAACGATTTTTAATAATTAATTACTCGTTAAGTATTACGAAAATTGCAAAATGGTACAGGACTTTTCCATTCATCTCGATCCGTTCTACCTTCTCAAAAATTTTGTCGGATATGGAAAGATTCACCCTGTATATACATACATTTCATAATTACACATTTTTAAGTATCTATTTGAGTATCATTCAGTAACAACTAGTTAAGCTAACTAGCCACTGTGATGCCGGGCCTTAGAAATATCGCTGGCAATTACCGAAGAAAGGCGTTCGCGGGGCGTTGAAATTACCGAGGAAAACAGTCGCCTCGCGCTCATGTTAGGATAATACTTGTCGTACGACAAATTTTTCAAGCGTGTCAATCGGCTGCAGAATAGAAAAGTTGTCGAGTCTCTACTCTCTAAAATTTGTGGAGCGAAAATACTGCCATGGAGTGAAATGTTCACCCTATTGGCGTGAATATTTCCTCCAACACAGTGAATATTAACTCCAATGGAGTAAACATTTCACTCCACGGCAGTATTTTCACTCCACAAATTTTAGAGAGTGGAGATTAACGGAAATCACGACGGTGGATATTATTCAGGCTCCTCCCGAAACTCGCTCGGGCCGCCGCCGACCACCGTACGAGCGCCTGGAAGAAAACTCGGCCCAGCTTTGGATGGGCCACATGCCTTCCTGGTTCTCCTATCTAGCAGCTGTCCTCACAGAGCAGTGTATCTCATTCCGGTCTTAGCGCTGCCGAACGCCAAGGGATCTTTACATGTCGGATAACGCTGTTAAGGCCCGAAGAAACTTGAACGGTAAAACTTAGGACTTAAGAACTTCGACCAACCGGAATTTTCAGCATTGCTTAAGTTTCAACATGGCTGCTTACGTTCTCGACAGTCACTGGTCATTTTCGATTAAATATTTGACACAAAGACACTACGCAAGACTAGCTGTCGACTTGAGAAAATTGACGTTTCCGTTTCTGTCAACTAATAGATTAACTTCAGTCTCGGTTAACTTACTTTTTATCATTTTCTAAGGTCCGGTTTCACCAACGTCGCTCAACTTTGATCTTATTAGTTAGTTTAATTCGTCGTTTTTGTCTCTTTCTAAAGAACTGGAAAGAGACAAAGGACGAACTAAGCGAAGCCTAAAGTTCAGCGACACTGGTGAAGGTGGGAACCTAAGAATTAGAAAGGGATAAAAAGTTAAGTCGAGATTAATCTACATTGGTAGAAGCGGACATTAGAAATTTATATTCAAATTGAGAAGATTAAACCCGGGTTCTTTTTTACAAGTTCTCAGAAAGAAAAGAGATTACGTAATCTTGCGGTTTTCCGAAGGAAAGACGAGAACGAAGATATCGTACGGTGAGCAACATAGATAAAGTGATACACTGGGGCGCTCGGGGTGACGTTTCTGTACGCAGCCCAAGGGAGTGTCTTGGAGTTTTCCAACTTCAATGATCGCTGCTGGCTTCGGCCGAATTTTGCGTAACCGGCTGAATCATTTTCTAGAGGGGTATGTTGATTCACAAAGACCAGACTTACCCGTAAAGCATCGCCGCCCCAGCTATGCCGCCGCCGCATTGTGCCGCGACGTACAGCACCGCGCGAAGCGGGGAAATCCGTCTGCACAAAGCGAACGACACCGAGACCGCCGGATTCACGTGTCCACCTGCGTGCAAAAGGTTTTCCATATAAAGAGGCGGGAAGAAGCGAAGAGGACATGCGGGGAGATCGCGCGATTCTCCCGCGCAGCGACTTTCGTCCCCGTTCATTTTCGCGCGAGCGAAAATTGTTACGTTTAATAAGTCCAAGGAGAAATAATTGCCCGAGTGCGACACCGAGTTATCAAATACGACGAGCTCAATTACGAGCGGCGAGACCGGAATAATGCACTCCGCTCGCTCGCTCGGCGAAAAATAAAAGTACCCCGCTCAGGGGCTCGATCACGAATCTTTTCTCCTGGCGTGAACTCGCACGGGAAGAAAGAATGTTCTTTTTTTGAAAATATATTTGGCCTCAACGTGAAAATCTTGAAACGAGATTATATTGCGTTAAAGAGAGGAGAACTTAGCAATTTTATATAATTCAATCGAGACAAATGTATGCTTATTGTTTAGGAATCATTTTCTTGAATGGACAGCAAGCAATATTGGATAGAAAATAGCATATGTTTAAATCGAAGATTACAACGATTAAAATGATGTTATTGCCAAAATAATTATGCGTATTCTTGAAGACAATTATAGCATTTGAATAAGACTGTAATATTGTTGGAATGTAAGATTATTAAATGCTTCTACGAAGATTATAGATTGTTGCGTGCATACAAAACAATGAATGCGTTAATTTGAGTATATAAGAGTCGATCTCATTTTTTTCTGTGCGTGAAAAGTGAAAAATTTCATTAAGGAATTTCACTATTCGTCAATGAAATTTTTCACCTTTCACGAATTCTGCACGCTAACAAAAAAGATTCATCGAGCCCCAGCTCAGAAACACCGTTTCAAACGAGGATTTTTGTTTCCTGTTCCACGATGCAGATCGTAGACATTTTAAATTACAAACGATCGCTCAACGAGTCGCTGCACACGGAGAGAATTTTTTCTTAAAATTTATCCTGAAAATCATGTAATCGTGTAATTTCGAGCCACTTCATGGGAGTTTCTCAAAATTTTACCATACGTTTTACCATAGCAGAATGCATTTCAAAATACACTCATACAGTCCTTTCTTTCGCTCGATTCTTTAAAATGTCACATTGTCCCACGACTACATTTTACTAGTGGAATGCATAGTAAAATTTCATAATACTCTCACGCGGTTCTTCCTTTCGTTCGATTCTTTAAACTTTAAAATGCCGTGAATTTTTCAGGGCAAATTTTAAGAGCAATTTCTCTCCGTGCGGAAACAAACGCGCGCGCCGTCCGCGCTCCGTTTCATTCCGCGCAGCGATAGCGAATCGGGAACAAGCGCGATCGAGTTTCCGGTAACGTATACGGTACGAGGACCGAGAGTTTATTACACGCATCGTATGTCGGGTACGTGCGTCATGCGTGCCGGCGGTGCGTACTCCATGAGTGCCCACATACGTTCCGGCAGACACGCACGACGCGGTAACGTTACGTCGCGCCGGCGTAATCGGTTAACGAGCCAATCGAGAGAAATCGCGAGGGCCGTCGCTCGTCAACGATACGTCGACGTACAAGAAGGAACAGAGCCATTGACGCAACGAGATCGTCGCGTCAAGCAGTTCGCGACCCTTTACGTAATTAGCCTCTGAACGCCTCGTAGTAGGACTGGCGATTTCCTTCGAAGGAATTCGAACTAATTCGAAATAATTCGAACCTTCGAACTTTGGAAATCTTGGAAGCGATCTCAAACAAATATGCAATATGCATGTTACAGTACGTAAAAATTATAATTTAGAAGTAATTACCTATTTTTCAACGCATATAAATTGGTACTTTTTATTCACAATATTTTTAGTTGTTTGAATAAATTCGCCACTCGAACGAATGAATTTTTCGAAGCTTCCAAGATTTCATAAGTTCGAAGTCAACTTCGAAGTTATCAAAAGTAGCAGCTTCATACTTCGTAGGAGATGCGCGTAAAATTCTCGCGGACGCGACATGAAACGCGCTAAATCGAGGTCGAACGAGAACGTAACAAGTGCATGTGTTATGTGTGAAAAATTTCATTGTTTAGAATACAAGAGAATAGAATCGTCCATAGATAAAACAATCGCTGTCTAAAGCGGGCAGCACACGCTTTTGCATAAGTGCATAAGCGTATGCATAACGAATTTGATTGGTCCATTTCCTTGTGCATTTGCTTATAGACCAATCAAATTCGTTATGCATACGCTTATGCACTTGTGCAAAAGTGTGTGCTCCCCGCTCAACACTTTTCTTTCTTTTCTTTTATACGTGTCAAAGACGTATCGTCACAGAGCAACATACACGGTATAAAAGAAAAGAAGACGTATTAGACATAAAGGCTCGTATGCTGAATCCTGTTTTATCGATAAAAGTTTGTTTTTCAGGGAATAAAGGCCTGCGTCCACGACGCTAGAACCTGGTCCAAGTTCAAGCGCCAAGAAACGTGCAGCCAATCGGCTTGCAGCTTTTATGAATTAGCTAGGAACGGCTTAAGAATCCTTCGGAATTCCAGTGGGGCTTTTATCGATAAACGAAGGTTCGGACCATAAAGACGTGGCGTTAAATTTAACGCACTGCTTCTTTCTAGATCCGCAAATAGGGACCAGACTTAAAAATTAAACCGAGTTACAATTAACAAATCTGAAAATTGATTATTAAGCCTCGTGTCCACAATCGAAGAACCGTATCCACGTTCCAGTTCCGAGGAACGAGTTGCCGGTCAGCTTGCGTCTTTTACGGAAGAGCTGGATCTACGCACCCTCAAAAAGGACTTCTCTTACCGAGACAAAAAATGTTCTTGACGCACTTAAATCTCTCACAGCCTCATCTAGTATAGAAATACGACGGTGTCAAAATAAAATCAATAATTCTTAGTCTCCTCTGTCGAATTGAAAAAGATCGACTCACTATATTGAGACAAGAGTAACTTATACAAATGTAAGTTTATATATTCTTGCGTTTGGAATAAATTTCCTCTCTATCTTACAACGCACGAAGTTGGCGCCACGATGTTCGACGATACGTGCTATCATTTTATACTAGATTCTAGAATTTTTCATTTAGGATTAAAATATTCCTTTCTCTATAACAAATACGATTGGCGCTATATCGATCCTATTTTATGATACGTTCAAGCGTAATGGCGTTGGATCCGGAAATGTTTTCCGTGGGCGCGGAACTTGGACGCAGTTCCCGGACCGTGGACGCACGGCTTCACAACATTGAGAATTGTCTTGGTCCTTCAAAGGTTTCTCTCCAAGCTTTCAAGACCTGAGAAGCAGCAAACTTTTATGTACCACAAGATGCATAGGGGAGCATTTCGCTATCACTTCCCTTCGAATGGGTTTACCGAGGCGCGGCGACGGACGTGCATCGTCCCCTAATACGTTCCTTCGTCATCTCCCGCGGAACTAATACGATGGTACCCTTACCGCTTATGTGGCTGAAGATGAGGGAGATCGCGGCCATGGCGAAGCCGGAAGCTACGGCGGTGGCTAACGCGGAGAGGCCGCTTCCGGATACGGAGGAGGCGGCGGCCGCGCCGGCCACCACGAGGCTGAAGAAGAAGGTGGCCAGGCACTCGACGGCCACCGCTCGCCACAGCTCCAGGCTGCGAGCCTCCGTGGACATGGGCGCCTTTCTCTCGCTCACGTCGGCATTGTTCTCCCGGAGGGCCGACAGCCTCGACAGGATAGTGACGATGTGCGCGTCCACCTCGCGCGCCAACGTCTCGTTCGCCATTCTCGGTCTCTTCTTTGTTCCCGCGAACACCAGGTGGAGAAAATATGTCGAGAAAAAGGAAGAAAACTACCCGCGACGAGGGGCCAGCTCTCAGAACATGTTCCTCCGACCCGATACTACTGTCACCCGCACTGTTTCCCTCACGAGGGGATCACCGATCGGCCGCGATCTGCGTTCTCCAGCACTCCTCGACACTCTTGGACCTCCGGACCGGAGACCCGGGAACCGATCGTCCTTCCTCGCGCCCTCCTCGGTAACGTGGCGACTCCCGGCGACTCTCTCGAGCGTAACGAACCCGGGGGGGTCGTTGAGCGCGGGTCAGTCGAGCTGCGAAGGGGGACGCGCTCGATGTTGCCGCACCGGCGACGCGCTCGCGAGTGACAGGCCGGCGTAGCGGCGTGGCGAACAAGTGGGCCCTGCCGGAGCGCGAGTGCCGTGCCATGGCGCGCGCGTCCACCACCGACGCGCTGCTCCACCCCCTCTCTCCGGCCGCTGTTCTCTGCGCGTCGGTGCATCTGTAGCCCCTGCATCACCCATCGGCCTCCTCCGTCACCGTCGCCGACGTCGCACCACTGACACTGACACTGCGCGCGGACGCTCCCAACTTCAATTCTTTCCGCAAGCGCGGAGTACGTTGACTTCTGGTCTCGCCTCGTTTTCTGTTAAATGTCAAACGTGTCGATTTCTCCGACAACTCGGCGGTCTTTTTCAGGGGCGGGAAAGTTACTTTACAAAAGTATCTGGTTACAGTTAGGTCTTTTGTTTTTGCTAAAAATGTTACTAGTTACAAGTTACCAATTATGGAGAATAAAGGCCTTCACACACAAAATTCCGTAAGGACGTAAAACGTAAGAGTAAGAAAATCGACCGATCACAGCCGAGAACGTAAGGCAATAACGCAAGCAGTAGCAAATCCAATCTGTTGATTTTCTTACGCTTACGTTTTACGTCCTTACGGAATTTTGTGTGTGAAGGCCTTTACGCGTTACAGTTGCAGTTACTTTCTTGCGATGAAAATAAAAATGTTAAATCTGCATTTGATTGTAAAGCGTCGATAAAGGCGTTTATGCGCACATGCAAGGCCTAATGCGGTCTGCGAGGGTTTAAAAAAATATATTGAGTAACTGTTAATGTAACTAATTAAATTAGTTACTAGTTATCGAAAAAATGTAACTGCCCTAACAACACGTATGGCATCTTTTAGATATGTATGTCTAAAAGACGACTTGAAAACGTCTTAACGATGCCTTTCAGACATGCGTGCTGTGGGTGAGTTAAGTTACAATTGAAGACATTGCTGCAAGAACGAGGTAAGTCCACTTTTTGACGAAAATGATATTTTAACACCATTATATGCAACGTTCCAAGCCCGATCGATTGGTGTAAAAACGACGTACGTAAGTGCATTGTTAGTTAAATAAACTGAGATTTTTGGACTTGCCCCTCTAAGCAGATTGGTGCAAGAACGAGGCAAGTGCGGAAAAAAATTAGCTAATTTAATAGTTTATTATTTATTTTTACTAATTTATCACTATAACTATCTAAAAGGTACTACTTTCAAATACTTTTGGCTAGTTTATGTTCTGTTGCTACACTGAAAAAAATTTCTGGTTGAATATGGACGAATCAGATAATTCCTTTAGGATTTACCAGAATTCCTTTAGGATTTACCAGAATTTTTGTAGGATTACAGGAATTCTGGTAAATCCTAAAGGAATTCTGGTAAATCCTAAAGGAATTATCTGATTCGTCCATATTCAACCAGAAATTTTTTTCAGTGTAGGCATTTTTTCCATTTTTGGTCCTAGAACGAGGCAAGTCCAAATTAAAAGTGTTAAAATTTCATGCATTTTGAAAGTTTGTTATTATTTGAATAAGTATGCGCTAATGGATAGCTAAGAAGAATATAATGTAAAATAAATAAACTTTCTGAAACAAAATTTGAAAACGGGGGTTTTTTTTCGTTTATCTCGGAAACATAAAATGTGGACTTACCTCGTTCTTGCAGCAATGTCTTCAATTACAGATGGAGAGAAAGTAACGAAGTTAAGTTAGAGTTACCAAAAAGAGTAACTGTAACTGTAACTTTGTTACAAGTAACGAGTCACTTCCCAACCCTGGTTATTTATCCGAAAAGAGAGACGCTGAAAATTTGCAATATTATATATAAAAAAAAATTCGACGGTGTAAATACTCTTGGTGATATTGGCAGCTCTAGCGTCGATCTACGTGGTCTAAAGCTTAATCTACACAGAAGAAAAAGAATACTCGTCGTTTTTGCGCTTTAAACCAAGATACTTTTTTATCTGCCGTACGTACCTTTATCTATAGTACGTACCTTTTCCTTATCGTACTTTGCCTTTGAACAAGGATAAGTCATGACGGGCACCGAATGCTCCGGATAACGAAAAGTCAGTTGAAATCGATAAGACAAGTCTTAGTTGTAACTTTCGAAAACAAAGTTTGTTAATCGAGTTGAATTACTACGTTTTACGAATATGCTCTTGATGTAAAGTGTGCGAAATATCGCAGAATCGTAGCCGTATATTTTTAAAGAATTAATAGCGTCTCTACCTTCTAAATATATATATTTATAAAATCATTACATCTCAATAGACAGAAAGAAGAAAATAACAATATGAAGGATTGTCTGGTAGAGGAGAGTCCCCTATTATGGGACAGGCTCATAATATGAGATAGCGGAGTTTTCGCTGAATTCATGGGCGTCATCTGTTGGTTCCACCATGAATTTATTGCGTTTGGAGTGAAATCTCTGTTTAGTGAAAGATTCATTGTTAGATCGTTCGTGTAATCTCAAAAGGATCAGTGAAATTGAATGTTGAAAGCCCGCTATCTAAAGCATGAGATGGCACAGGCCTTTAGGAGCCTATCTCATAATAGGAGACGTTCGTCTATATTCTTTACGTCTTGGTTTAAAATACAAATGAACTAATTATGAGTTCTTAATTACCGATCAATTAATTATTAATTAATGACAAATGCAAATTGCTGCACGCTTTGAGATTGTTGTCGTAAAACGCTGCCGCGATAAAGCGCAGCGGCGCGGCGATGCGGGAATATCGGTTCTCTCGTGATAACCGTTGCGCGCTGACTCTTATCTTCCTCGTGGAGCAATGTATCCGGTATCTACAAAATGATGAATGGCGGACGAAAGAAAGCGAACGGGCTGCCGTAACGAGAGCTATTAGGAATAGCATGACGCGTATTACCTTCAGTTAAGGTACTTAAGCTTAAACGCGCGCAACATTAGCCGCGTACGCCCGTATTTACGCGCGTACCAACGTCGCGTCTGCGAACGATTAAAATAAGCCAAATAAATAGGCCGCCGCGCGGCGATGCGCTTGGCAGTGGTGGGTCTTATTCCCACGAGTTCAAAGAGCATCCGCAATGTCCACGTTCCCACAAAAAAGGGATGTACGCGCGACGGGGCATGAACAGCGAGCATAATAGCGTACATTTAGATCAACTTCGCGGACGAATGTCGGACGTGGACGCGGCCACCTTCGGGATCGCATTATACGAGCGTGCATTCCCATGACATCGATTTTCCGTCGATCGCGAAGGTCGACGATGATTCGCTCAAGTGATAAAAAGATAACGGAGTCCGCGTTAAAGACGACAAACTGGTACGATAAACTGGTTTATGTCAGTTGCAATATTGCGATATAGAACTGCGAGGACTACATCAATGCGGTGACAAGAGAGAGGGTACCATGAGCAGGTGGTTTGATAGAAAAGTCATCCAATTTGCCAACTTTAAGCGACGTATGTACACAGAAAAAAAAGAGTATTCTTCTTTTGAAAATATGTTTAGCTTCAACGTGAAAATCTTGAAGATTATACTGCGTTAAGGAAAGAAAAAGTTACGTGAACGAAGCAATTTTATATAATTTTTAATCAAGAAAAATATACGCTTATTATTTAACAATAAATTTTCCTACATGGACAGGAAACAATACCGGATATAAAATAACACATTTTCAAATCGAAGATTCTAATAATTAAAATAATTACGTGTATTCTTGAAGTGACAATTACAGCATTTAAATAAGACTGTAATATTGTTGGAATGTAAGATTATTAAATGCTTCTAAGAAGATTATAAATTTTTGCGTATATATAAAACAGTGAACGCGTTAATTTGAGTATACAAGAGTTGATCTGACGCTCATTTCTTTTTCTGTGCGTGCAACATATTCAATCACGAGCTGTTCTCAAACTGTAAAAAGCCTTTGTTTTAAAAGTTCTTTCTTTTTAATTAATTTTCTCTACTTTGTATTGAGGGACAATCATGAATAAGTTTCAAACTAAATATTGTTTTTCCTTCTCAAATTAAATATTACTTTTTTAATTACAGACTGTGGAATTTACGTATTTAACACTCAAGTAACAACATTTCCATCTTTTACTTTCTGTCTTTCTATTTTATTCTTGTTGCACTTTTTTCTTCTGAAATTAGATTTTATATTGTATGTATGTTACAGCGGTCCTGCAAATCCTTTAGATGTCACTCTCGCGATTTTCCGTAGAACAATTTTACTTAAACGTCATTATTTTATTTTACAAGTCTGGTATTTAACAAATTTCATCTCGTCCAATGAAGACGGGACTACTTCGTTCAGCTTGACGATTCTAAGAGAGGATAAGCCGCCGTAATTAAAGCTATTTAACTCTCCCCCGGTACAGCACTGACGTAGGAGCGACGAACCTAGAACGGTAATAAATTCACCAATTACTATAAATTGAAGAACTTATGCGCGAGGGAGTAGGACGAGAGAAAGGGCATTCGTTTTGTATCGTTCCCGGCTTTCACTCGTAATACACGCCTTTAAATACCAATCGATATTTCCACGACTTATCTATAATTTATTGAATTTTAAAATCTGCTAGAAATTTTGTGATAATCAATTTGATCAATACGCGATTGGAGTATTTTTCTGGAGACTGAAATAGTTGATATTAAGTGCAAGTTAAATATACCTACAATAATTAAAAAGATCAAAAGACTTTACAGAAGCAATGGTCAGTTGCACATTTCGCTAAATACTTGGTTATCAAATTTTAGACTATTAATTGAAGCAATTAGTACATTGATAAAATTAGAGCGGCAGAAGTTCTGCATAATTTTTGTGAATTATCGTAAGATCGATATTCAGGTTTCTGTATTTCTTTCAACATTCTTTCAATATTCTTACAATTTCTTCCTCATAAAATATTCTGTGTAAACTATAGGACCTATAAACTCCCGAAGCATTCAATATATCCTTTAAATTATTTATGTTTCTAATTAACAGCTCACTACTGTGTGTTTATTGATTATTATAAGGCATGGCAGAAATTTGCGCGACACATGGCGAAGTACTTTTCCAAGTGGCCACTTCTTACAGGATTTATGGATGATTTTTCACGCTGAAAGTTTCTCCATTAATAACTCTTTTGCCGAACGATTTGCTCAACTCTCTGTGAAAATAGATTCTATTATATAACTTCATTTCCTATTTTAAAGAACGTCCTAAGTTTCTTGCCCTCTGACGGTGTTCTGTGTTTCGCGCTTTCTTACATTTCGCTCATGACACAAGTCACTCCACTGGCAAACGATTAATACTTAATTGAGCTGATAAAATCGTGAGTCATAAAGACGCGGTCGCGGCGTGTATGATTCACAGCCAGCAGAAGCTCTCATTCTGTATTTTGAAACAGAACGAATTAGCAATTTTATAAAATCTGCTTGACAGTTTTAATAGCTTGACAGTTTTAAGCCTGGGTAAGAGACGACATCGACGAAGACCATAATGTACCTCGTGGCAAATAAATTTATTATCGCGCGCATCCATCGCTGCTGATCAACGTGAGGGTCGTGGAATTTGCTGCATTATCAGGAATTTTCTCCTGTTCGTACGAAAATACGAAGCCGAAATCAAATCCATTGTATCGACTTCGTGAATACAATAAAATGGAATCAATTAAATCACTTGCTGCCTTTGGGTAAGAACAAACAAATCCTTTAGTTAATACAACAAAAATATTTAGTTGAAATTAGTAATATTAACACATAAATTAGGCTTCAAATTATTAATTGTACAAAATCAAATTTTTGTATTGGTTTTTATTTAAATTTTGTTTACTGAACCACGTTTGTGTTTTGCATCCCATACAGTACCGAAGTTAATAGGTAAAATATACGAAAAGAGGCAAGAAAAAGTTTTCGAATAAGCTCACACGTCCTTTTTGCAATTACAAAAGATTGAGTTAAAAGGCGAGCTTAAGGGAAACGTGAGGACGAATGATTCTCTGTCAAAATTGCGAGAATGAACAGATCGTGTCTTGCTTGCTAGTGCAAGCGAAGATAAACAAAGGGTACCCTCCTATTATTCCTGGCCTTAATATCTCACAATAGTCATTTCACCATCAATATCCACGTGTTGTGCGATACGTATACTTATTAATCACGGTAGTTTCAATATCTAATCTCAGGTAAAACTATTGTTGATAAATGCGGAGCTGCACGAGCCAACCGCTCGTTGCGGAACACATCCGTTCACGCGACGACATTCCTTTGCAAGGGCACGTATAGATTAAAATATGCGGCGCAAAGGGGGATTAAGCTAGGTCATCTGTTCCTCTATGATTTCCATTCATTTCCGCCACTTTTTGTATAGAGAAAAAAAAAGCAGGAACGATAAAATGTTCCCCATAAACACATAGCAATCCATTTCCATCGCGTCTATAATCAAAATCATTACATTCAGCAAAACGGAACAAAAATAATATTTATTTATGGTAAAAACCGTACACGTATCCTGGATACTTATCATAGAAATGTTCGGAATGGATTCCAATCGAAATTATGTAATGTAATATAAAAATATCATAATTCTCTCTCTCTCTCTCTCTCTCTCTCTCTCTCTGCCTTAACTATTGCATTATTATTATTGATTCTTTGATCTTTTAATTAATCCATCATCGTTTCCAAAGACTGTATCAGACTACGGATTGAGATTGAGATTAGACTGAAATTTGGCCAATTAGAATAAGTTTACTAAGCTCAAGTTTAGTGACTTTTACTCCAATTGGATCTCGGATACTCTGAAACGTGTCTTTACTCAAATTTCACTCTAATCTCAATCTCAATCCATAGTCTGACACGGGCTACAGGGCTCCTCGCGTATGGCGGTACTCGAAACGGAATTTTCTCCAGCAAGTAATCGCCAGCAACCCTACTCCTTCATCCGCACCCCCGGCTCTTCCGCGGTCGTGCACATCCGCTTGGCTGCGCGTTTCGCAATGGGGCCCCTGCCGTTGGGCGCGTGGGCGGCCCGTTGCCGACCCATCGCGGCGACGTTATGTGCACGCGACGACGTTATTACGGCTCAGTGAGATCCGGCCGCTGCTCTTCGCCGATCTGTCGCAGTCGGCGGACGGTATCCGCGAGCCAGCACCTCGCGCAACATTTTTCCGCCTCGATCTTCGGCTGCGAGCGCGCGACATTCGCACGCGATCCTTGATCTTCGCGCGGCAAGATTGCGGGAAGGTGCGACTCGCAAACGAGTTGATCGACGTTATCGGCGCACGTCATCTGGTCCCCGTAGCGGCGGCTACCGCCTGCGGTCTCCATTCGATTAAGACAGGAAGTGGCGTGAGTGGATCCGTAAGTCGTTCTCTGTAAAATTACGTTTTACGCACTTCTCGCCCGTGTAACGTCTCTACTGTTAAATATGCGCGTACGCAATAAATTTTCGTCCCACGTCGACTGCTAAAAACGATTTAATGTATCGCCAGCGATTCGTACCTTGGAAAAATTTAAATTTCTTAATAAAATTGAAGTTTTTAAAAGTAATCTTTCAAATATAAAAATTTACTCTTAGAGAAGTTAAAAGTTTACTTTAGCTGATTACACGAGGTCAGATTTACAAGATTCATAATGGCGGATCCAACATGGCGCCTGAAAATCTGCAGTCGAATTTTGTAATTCTGAATCGTAATTAGCGACTTAAAAAAACTTTCACAAAAATCGGCTGAAAGGAAACCTACACAGCAAAAAATGTCACAAAGATATCTGGGAGATATCTAAATATTACAATCTCTGATACAGAAAAGTATTCAGATATCGCTAATTGGATATCTGAGAGATGTCTTCCAGATTCTAAAAAGTCATGATTATTTCATCCGAGATATGCTATCTAATAAATAATACATCAAGTAATATAGATATTTATATTTTAGTGGAATCGGATTTTACGTATTACAGAATAGGCAATGTGATAGATAAAATATATTTTTTCCTGTATCAGTTCCGGCATAAATTATTGAGGAACACGGCCTCCACAAATCAGCCTTAATTTTTTTTATACTATTACTGTAAACTCATGTTTATCTTTTTGTCATTTTTATCGTACCGTTTCTTTTTTTACTAGATAAGTTTAGAAAACTTATTTCGTGGAAAAGTTAAATAATAAACAGTTATTTAAAAACGAAACGAGTAATAAAAATAAACATATAGACAATAATTTTTTGAAAAAGATAGAAATGTGATATCCTTAAAAATATTCAGGATATATCGTCTACGAGATATCTCAAATATAGTTGCACCAGTGCGCACTGAATGCAACACTAAGGTCTGTTTATAGTCAATTTTTATATTTAACTTTGTCTTAAATACATGTTCCACGAGTATTTGGCCAAAAAATGATCCGTATCGATGCTACACAGATCGTTTTACTGGCTACGAAATATCTCGAGAGATATTTAAGACGATTCTTAAATAGAAGAATTAACCGTAAACAAGCCTTATAGTGCGCACTCAGCGCGCACTATTGCAACCAACCGAATTCGCTATCAGACACATTTTGCCGTGTAGGAAAATATACGCTTGAAAGGGTTAACCGCGCGTAATCTAAGTCCATCGTCACGGGAGCCGACGATGGATAGCGTCAATGACGAGGCTCTATCGCGTTTTAATCGCCAGTTATCTGGCGCGTTGCCTTTCGCTTTCGAACACCGTTTACCAATCCCACCTCTGTGCGTGCCGCGGCACCAATCGTGACATTTCGCATTATCGACGGGTGGAAGAGACGGTGAACGGGGGAGAAGGGTATACCGCGCGCGCGGCGAAACCACCTGAAGTGCCACGCGAGTCACCGCGCGGCGCGAGCGTGACTAGGGGGACCCGCGCGATAGGGTGTTGGCTTGTCTGTGCAGGGACGCTCTCGGAACGAAGGCCGAGGGAACGTTTACGCAACGACGCGTCGACTGGAGACCAATCGAGTAGACGCGGTGCGTCTTGGTGCGTCTTCGCCCACTCGGGGAATCACCTGCGGCGCGACTCGCGTCAAACTTCAGCGGGGAGACTCCGGGCGATTACTCATTGTCGATAATCGATCTACGAGTGTGCCCTCGTTCGGCGACAAGCGGACGACTTCGGGGGACAAGGAACTTTCGCTTTTCGCCTTCCATTCCTGGTGCGCGCCGCCGCGGGTTTACGCCGTGCCGTCTCGTCCCGCAACCTGACGTGACGTGACGTAAATACGCGCACGGCTCTCACGGGCCACACCTGCTGCGCGTCGCGTGCTCCCGCGCGCTCCCGCACGCGCCGCGGAACATGGCCAACGCGCGTGGAGGACGCGCGTACGGCGTCGCCCGTGGCTGCCTGTGCCTGCTGCTCGCGGCCGCCGCCGCCGCTTACGCCCAGGACTACATCTCGCCCGGCAGCCGCTACTACAATCGCGACGGCGTGTACGTGCCGCAGGACCCGACCGGCTACAAAACTTATATCTACAAGGACAGGAGGTACGGCTATCAGCCCAGCTACCTGGAGCCCGGTTACAGGGGACCCACCAGGGCGCCCGAGGATCGGTTTCATTACGCCGTAAGTGCACGGAGAGAATTTTTTTTTCATATAATCAATCAATTGGTTTCGACATAACTGGCTATGTATTTTAATTGTCACAACGACGTTTCGACTGCAAATCGCATGAAGAGTACTGCGATTTGCAGTCGAAACGTCGTTGTGACAATTAAAATACATAGTCAGTTATGTCGAAACTAATTGATTGATTATATTATATTATTAATCTAATTACTGGTGAAGAAAAACATTACCAACAACAATTTAGAATTTTTTTTCAGTTTAAACAATTTGTTTATACTCACGTAAACTGTATATGTAAATGATTATTTATTATTTGTTTGCTCCTGCCTTGTGTTTCAAATGTTGTTTCAAACTTTGAAATCTATTAGAGATGTAACTGAGAATATTTTTTTCAATAATGGCTTGTCGCTCATTTATCGATAATACACATTCTAAAATGTGCGTAAGATTTGGAAGAAAACACAAATTCAATAAGCGTTGTGTTTTATTAAAACAGACCACTGAACGGCTTCCGCTGCCGGGAATATTAGCCGGCTGGCGCGAGGATCTACAAGGAAGAGAAAGACCAGATTCTAAAAATTTTAGAGACAGAGACATAGTTGTGACCACAAATTATGGTCCAGTCCAAGGATTCAAAGTCGAGTTGTATGACGATCCGAATGCGAAGCACAGACCCTGGAATATGGCAGTGGAAAGAGTGACAAAGGTTGTTAATGTGTTTTTGGGCATCCCTTACGCCATGCCGCCTATCAAAGAAGGTCGTTTCAAACCTCCCAGAGCTCACAGGTTAATACAAAGGGGTTTTTCACCGTATCTACCGCTCAATAATATCGTCTTACGTAAAACAGCTAACTTATTTCTTCTTTAGAGGATGGCAACTTTTACAAGCTGTTGATTGGGGACCTGCTTGTCCTCAGCCTAGCGAATATACTGGCACTACAAAGGGTGTGCGAGATGTTGACGAAGACTGCTTGTACCTAAATGTATTTACACCAACTGTAAGTACGCCACGTCCAAAGGAGATGAAACAAATTGAGTCGATTGAGTAATAAGACTATGTTTTGCGTATGCAGATTGGCCATGGATTAGCGAATAGATATCCAGTGATGTTTTACATACACGGCGGCGAATTTAGCCATGGGGCGAGTAATCTGTTTCCAGCTCATATTCTAGCTGCCTTCTATGATGTTGTAGTGGTGTCGATTAATTATCGGCTCGGCGCTCTCGGTAAATACGCTGTTTGAAAAAGTATATGCATGGGAAAGTCGTGAAATTCGTGTGTTGGCAAAAACCAATCTTTTTCACTGTATCTCCAGGTTTTCTCAGCACTGGAGATGAGAATAGCCCAGGAAACTATGGGATTCTTGATCAAGCTATGGCATTGCGGTGGGTCTACGATAATATAGCTAGCTTCAACGGAGATCCCGAATCCATAACGCTCTTTGGACCAGGTGCTGGAGCAGCGAGTGCAGGAATACTAATGGTTGCGCCAAGGTAAGTGCGTTTGATGTTTTGTGTATATTTTATATCAAGTCAATTGTGTTAATTTATTCATTTTACCTTACTGTAGAACTCGGCAGATGGTATCAAAAGTAATAGCGCAGTCGGGCTCAGCCTTAGCTGACTGGGCGGTGATAATTGACAAGTACCGTGCACAAAATACGTCCCGAGTGTATGCAGAGATGCTCGGGTGCAGTATAGAGAGCAGCTGGAAATTGGTGCAATGCTTGAAGGACGGGCGTAGCTTCCTGGAATTAGGCAATTCCGAATTAAAGCCGCACGTCGGAATGTTCCCGTGGGCACCTGTGCTGGATCACAACTTCACAGTACCTCAGGATGACTGGTATGAGGATTGGAGAGCGTCCGACTGGCGCTTTTTCATGGAAACGCCAGAAGAGAGTATTAAAGCTCGCAAATATAGGAAAGACTTGGCTTACATGGCTGGCGTCACGACTCAGGAAGCAGCGTTTATTATAAGTACGTCATGATTTAACCAACATCTTTTTTCTTGCCCAGAATTTTACTGCTGTCTATTTCATTCAGTTGCATGTCCCAACATACGTGTTTTATGTTCTGTATTTTTTATTTTACAGAAAATAATGTCACATTAGCAAGGAATCAATACATAATCACCCCTGAGGTATTCGATCAAAGGATTTGGGAGTTGGTTCTTCAATATAATTACACTCTGAATCCGTATGGCATTTACGAGGCGATAAAATATATGTACACGTATTGGCCGGATCCATTGAATGTCACGCACATACGCGATCAGTACATAAATGTGGGTAGTGCGTCAAAGCGTCGAGCTAAATGCGCCGTGTATAAAATCGTTGACTTTAATTGTCATCATTATTTTCAGCTCTTATCAGACTTTCATTACGTTGCACCGTATGATAAAATAGCAAAATTGTTGGTGGAAAGGCACGTACCAACATACCTCTACGTCTTAAATACCTCGATAGAAGCGTTCCATTCGCCACATTGGGCCCGAGTGCCCCACGATACCGAGCTTTTATGGCTAACAGGAGCACCGTTCATGGACGTTGGTGCGTTCTTTCGCATATATATCTTAATATAAATCTCCCGGCGCACGTACTAACGTAACGTTATTGGCACAGAATTTTTCCCGCAAAAATGGAGACTGAGTCGAGATATGTGGACTGACAACGATCGCAATATGAGTTGCTTCTTCATGAAGGCGTACTCTAACTTTGCAAAATACGGGTATGTGTCTAGTAATGCCGATTTTATCTGTACGATAAAATGGAAAAATGCAACGGCTCGTTTAATTTTATCCCAGAAACCCGACGCCTTCGCAAATCTTGGGATTGCACTTTGATCTCGCGCGTCATGGACAATTGCGATACCTCAACATCAATACGACGTTCAACAGCTCCATTGAAATAAACTATCGTCAAACCGAGAGCGCATTCTGGTCCATGTACTTGCCGACTGTCATTGGTTACCTCGTCCCTACATATCCTCCCGTTACAGAGGTAAGACATTGTAATGGTTTATGTATTCTTATTGAATTGCATCGGTTGTACTTATTTGCAATTTTTATTACAGTATTGGTGGGAACCCAAACAGCCACTGCAAATCGCATTTTGGTCGATGTCGACGGCGTGTCTGCTGCTACTTGTACTTTCTGTGGTGTGCTGTATGCTTTGGCGTAACGCCAAAAGGTAAGAAAAGGTAAACAGAACCAAATTCATGTGACTACAGCTTAATTCGGTTGCACCCGCTGTACCGAACGGTAGCGCATGCAAAAACTGGTTCTGGTTTATAGACACAGTCACTTTCGGGTACGGTTTCATTTTATTGCCTTACTCTTCACATAACCACCTCTGAATATAAATTGCTAATTAACTCTATTCCTGCTTACGGTTAGCAAAACAAAGGCAGCTAGGATACGTGCAGGTATTTATAGAAAATACTCAATGGACAATTTTGCACAATATGCAGACAATATGTCTGTCACATTAATGCTTTTAGTTGCACGTATTGTATATATTATTACAGAAAAGATATACGAAAAGTATAATTACAGGAAAAAATTAAGGATCCAAATAAAATAATACATAATAAAATTATTGATGTAACTCTTGCGTGGATTTTATATAGTTTTTTGTATATAGTATTCGTTTGTATTATTTTTTCCACAGACAATCTGATCACTACTATAGCGGAGACATCCTGATGGTACGAGACAATGAGCACTCCGAGGGAATCGAGAATATAACACGGTCCTCTAAAGAAAATATATACGAGTATCGCGATGTACCAGTCAAGGCTAGAGTACCACGTCAAAACGAGACGAGGCTGCAGGAACGTCTGGCGCACAACAGAAAGTTCAGTTCTACACCGTCATTACGTAGCAATTCTAATGTCTCGTTGAAAGATATGAGGTCGGAAGGCTTCGTTACGAGCTCGCCTAATGGTCAGCCCAAGATGGCGAAGACCATGAGTCAATCTTCACTGCCGAAAGCTAAAAGCAAAACACTTTTAGTACAGGGAGTACCACAAACAGCTGTTTAATACTTAAGTTACCATTATACAACAAAAAAATCAACGATCTTTTGATATTTATTTTTTATACCTAGGGTTCTAGATGCAATTAATTGTTTCTAAAAGATGATGACATTGGTTTTTAAAAATGCCATATAAATTATTAAATTAAACTTTAAAACCGACAGTTTTGTCCATTATACTTTTTAAAAGATATATATGAAATAATAATTAGGGTATATACGGACAATAATTGAGACAATTATAAATTGGTATAATTATTATTAATATTCGCAATCGTTTAGCGTAAATGATGCGAAAGTGTGTTCGTTGCTGATTATATTGAAATATAATCTTTTTGAATTGTCAGATATTGCTAAGGTACATTCTTTGTAATAGCACAACGTGATATGTACACGAATGTATTCGCAAATCAAAAGTTATTAGTCACATCTGCATTTTGACAGCGTAAACACACGACATTGCCATTTGCATGTAAGATCTAAGTTAATGAATTTTTTATCTTGATACTTCTAGATGTACAATATTAGATTTTTATAAATGACACGGTTATATAATAATACTTACAAGTGGCTACTTTGTATCCGTCCATAAGAACAGAATGATTGTTATATAAATGAAAAAACTTTATATATTTTATATGTATTATGTATGTATATATATTATATAGTATGAATAGTAGATATTTTATATTGCTTTATAAAGCCGACACTCTTTTGTAGAGCATAAGATCAAGTTGTGTAAAATAGCTTGAGATCTACGGATGAAGAAGACAAGTGCAAACGCAAAGTAGAGAGAACATTTGTTTCGATTTAGTCTGCCTTTTTTTCCAAAATAATTACGCATATGTAATTACAGTACGTTTAATATATTCATTAGGTAATGTATCGATATTTGTAAGCAGGTTTCAAATGCAACATTCTGTCATTGATCCAGTTATGCGATTTATTATATCGTTGCGTCTCTCGCGGAGACGCAAGCCGCCGGATCCGGTGCGTTTCACTTCGCACCGTCACACTCGCACGCGCGTTCGCGGGAATAGCAGAAGGCCGTTTTGCGATAGGAAACGATATAGAAGAGGAATACAATCGGCCCACGACGCGTCTGCTCAAGGCAGGGGCCAAACTTCGAATCCATAACACAGTTCTAAACATTAACGACTCTTATCCAGGCGACTCCAGATACCGGGCGTCCAAAACGCGGGCATAACAATATGTTAAATCTTTCGTTTGATACGTACCGATTAGATGTAGACTATAAGTGCCTCACTCGATGCAAGATTCATATTGTGTTAAGCGCACGAATTTACTTCGCACGTTGCAGTTGCACGTTCAATGTTTCTGTACGTCAAGCGTAGCTTTAGCGTTAACGATCTCATTGCTACCGGAGTTGTAATGTAAATGTAAGTCTGACACTTCTGAGATTAATATTACACGCACGTTCGCGGTAAGTCTCGGGCGATTTGTCTGCAAATTGCGCAAATGTGTAGAGCAAGTGATTTGTAAGCACGTAAGAATAGCGCCTTAAGATTTTACAAAAGAAAATCCTGTCAATAATTCCGTATTTTAGATTATTGTAAAGCTATATTACAATATTTTGCACACACGATTGTGTTGTCATTTACACGACTCCTCAGGATTTCCTGGAAACTTCATCGTTATTGTTATAAAGTTACAGTATTTCGCTCGTGTATAGCTGCTTGTAAAACCATATAGAGGCCCATAGGACATTTAAGTACGAGTCCTGAAAATCTAAATTGTCCAGGAAAATTTGAATGTTGAAACTGTGTCAGCTGTGACGTAACGTTTCCGGTTCGTCTTCAACGGTCACAGTGCACGAATACCTAGACGCGACGCTCCATCCGGGAGCAGCTGTTTCCAGTGCGAAGGCCACTCCGACGCCAAGTATACGTGTGTTACGTACCTCAAATCGTACGTATACAATCTTAGAAAATATTTTGCGGATAAGTTGACAGCCGGCGATCAATTGCGACGAGCTAAGATCAAGAGAAACGAGGGAAAATCAGTAAATACGGGCCACGGCCAAATTGTTCGTCATTTAAACGTTTCCCCGCCTTCGACGGAAGTCGCAGCGACTCGCCGGTTAAATGCCAGGCGAGGTGTCAGATTCGATGACAACTTCGCGACAAAACGAGTCCAGTGTATCTTTTACGATTCGTAACACAACCCACGCGACATTTTGTGAGACGAACGCTCCGCTATTCAATTAATTACGAAAGAAACTATGTTTTCAGTATCGACTGCTGCGGCTACGAACCGATACGAACTGTATACGCGTGCACGCATATCAGAATTTGCTCGTCGTATTCTCGGTCTGCTTTTTGAAATAAAATTGCTGCAGCTCGAATTGGCATCAGCTCGTGGCAGCGTCGGTCTTTACGTCCCTTGAGTTGCTCCTCGCTGATTTGTAGCATGAACTTTTAGAGCTTCAAGATGCAGAAGTTCAAGAGGGCTCAGGCGCAGAACAAGCTGTCCATCGAGAGGCACTTGGAGGCCAACGCGTCGTTGAATTCGTCCAGCGAGGAGGAGGACGAGACGAACGAGGAGGACGTTCAGAATGCGGTGGGCAAAGTGCTGTCGGCGTACCAGGGACAGGGCATGGACGCGGAGAGAGTGATGTCGTATCTGGTCAACTCCTTCCAGACCAGCAGCGCTGTTTGTTTGATATGCATATCGACTGTCAAGAAGATGGATCCAGTACGTTTAAGGATATGTCTCAAAATAACGCGTTACTATTTCCTTGACATCTTAATTGCATCGTTACGTACGCTAGGCTGGACATTCTTCCATGTAAAATGTTCTCAGTTACACAAGTGAAATGTCCTTTAAATGTCGACGTGTGAGGCAGTTTTTAAATTGTTTAAATACGAGGGTCTGTATACAAGTGTCTCGCAGTTTACTAGCTTCACTGGTTAAAAGTCAGCTTTCAGTAGCACTGAACGTGCACGAGGAAGCAGGCCATTGTCATTCCGCTGTTCTTTTCCACGCAGATATGGAACTGCGACAAGTGCTACGCGTTCCTGCACATGTCCTGCATCCTGCACTGGATCAACGACAGCTTGAGCTACAAACGGGCTAGGGGAATCACTCCGATATGGGCATGGTGTGTACATTGGTCATTCAGAATGGAGTTCCATAAAAGGAGCCAAAGTTGGTCAAAATTTCCGTTTAACAAAGATGCACTGTGTTACAGTCCCAAGTGCCGTATGGAATACGATCAGGAGCAGATTCCGCGATTGTACAGATGCTTCTGCAAGAAGACCGTGGACCCGCCGCACCAGCCCTGGGCGATTCCGCACTCGTGCGGCGAAACCTGCGGCAAGCCCCTGCAGCCGGAGTGCGGCCACAAATGCGTGTTGCTCTGCCACCCCGGCCCGTGTCCGCCCTGCGCCAAGATGGTGTCGGTTAAGTGTTACTGCGGCAAGCTACCGGCGCAACCGCGACGCTGCAACGCCAAGGACTGGAGCTGCGGGACTGTGTGCAACAAGAGATACGACTCCTGCGCGCACAGTTGCAGCAGCCTGTGCCACACCGACGAGTGTCCGCCTTGCGTAGAGGTGACACCGCTCAAGTGCCGTTGCAAGAGCAACGAGAAGGTGGGCGAGTGCCACGAGGGCACGTGGGTCTGCGAGAAGCCCTGCAACAGGAGGTTCTCCTGCAACGTGCACAGCTGCGAGAGCACGTGCCACCTGCCTGGCGATTGCGGCAACTGTCCTCTGGAGAAGAACAGATCCTGCCCCTGCGGGAAGAAGCGATACGAGGTCTCCTGCAGGCGACAGCAGGTGCCGACGTGCGGTGACACGTGCGGCAAGCTGCTGGACTGCGGGTCGCACTTGTGCAACATGCGCTGCCACGCCGACCGCTGCGGCCAGTGCCTGGAGGTCGTGACGAAGGCGTGCCGGTGCGGCAGCTACACCAAGGAGATCGCCTGCGCGAAGGAGTTCCACTGCAACAAGAAGTGCATTCAGATGCGTTTATGCGGCAGACACTTGTGCAACAGGAAATGCTGCGACTGCATATCAAAGAGCACGTCGAATGCCTGCGAGAAGACGTGCGAGAACACGCTCAACTGCCGCAAGCACAAGTGCGCCGCGCCCTGCCACAGCGGCCCCTGCTACCCGTGCACCCGAACGGACGTCATACAGTGTCGGTGCGGCGGCAGCAAGATAACGGTGCCGTGCGGCACCAGGAAGAGAATCAAGCCGCCGCTGTGCAACAAGTCCTGCAAGATCCCGCCCATCTGCCACCACAGCAAGAGGGAGACGCACAAGTGCCATCACGGCCCGTGTCCGCCGTGCAAGAAGGTCTGCGGGCTGACGCACAAGAGATGCGGCCACACCTGCCCGGCCACTTGTCACACCAAGGTCTGGGTGAAGAGCAGAGCGAACGGCATAAAGGCGCAGCCGGTCGGGCCCTGGGACAGGCCCAAGGACGTTATGGAGCTCAAGACTCTGCCGTGTCCGCCGTGCGAGGTTTCCGTGCCCGTGACCTGCCTCGGCGGCCACGAGACCCGGCCCTGGCCGTGTCACATGTCGAGGCCGAGCTCCTGCGGCAGATCCTGCGGCCGGCTGCTACCCTGCGAGAATCACGCCTGCGAGTCGACCTGCCACAAGCTACAGACACCCGACAACGAGTCCAACGGCGGCGGTGCTCCGTGCATGGAGTGCGAGAGGGAGTGCAATTTTGCACGGCCGCCGGGTTGCACGCACGCGTGCCCGCGGCCTTGCCACCCGGCGCCGTGTAAACCGTGCAAGCAACTGGTCCGGGTCTCTTGCCACTGCGGTATCAGCACCCTGTACCGGCATTGCGTCAACCTGACGTCTGCAACGAGCAAGGAACGGGACGAATTACTCAAGTGTGGCAACCAGTGCCCGAAAAATGTAACTGCATTTACATTTATGTTCGGTGAAACGCGTATAAATTTCTGCCTTGCTCCCCTTTTAGTGCAAGACACGATCCGTCTTTCTTTATTTCAGTATCCATGCGGCCACCGTTGCGTCAACGACTGTCACTCGGGAGAATGCAAAGGTGGAGAGGGATGCAGCAAGAAAGTCAGATTGTGGTGCAAGTGCAAGCGGATCAAGAAGGACTATCTCTGTTCGCTTCTTCAAAAGGAGCCGATTACCGTAGAGTGCGACGGCGTGTGCGAGTCACTGAGGAACGAGAGGAAGGAGGCCCAGGAAGCTATGATAGCGAGGAAACTGGAGGAGGAGGAGCTGCGCAATCGGGAGGAGATCGAGAAGTTCGAGAAGAAGTTCAAGCCACGACGGAAAAGGAAGGACAAGTACGACAGCGCGAAACAGTCCCGGGGGAGCGCAAAGAATAGGTATCGCAGCGCATGGATCCTAGCGATTATCGTGAGCATTGTGGGGATAATAATAGCGTATCTGACCGCTCCTGACTTAAACGTACCCGGACTGAGCTGATTCCGCGAGCTGATTTCAAATTTGTTGATTATTTATGATAACAATCATTGATAAGATTTTGTGATGTATTTACGCTTATACGTGTATTGCTATGATAAGCATGATTCCATTTATCTCGCTAATAGGAGTAGTACAATTGTAACAGTCTTCATATATACAGCCACAGACAGAATTACTAGCCCGGTTGCACCAACGTTGACTTCTAACTTTAGCTTAATTCCCTTCTCGTCTCTTTCTGTTTACCTTAGAAAGAGACAAAGAGTGAATTAAGCATAAGGTTAAAGTTAAGCGACGTTGGTGCAACCAGTTCTAACACCTGTGTCCACGATGCTTAGTCCAAGTTCTCGTTTCGAGAAATGTGTAGCCAACAATTGCAGTTATTTCATAAAAGCTACAAATTGATTGGCTACATTTTTCTCGGAGCTAGAACTTGGACCAAGTTCTTCTAGCATCGTGAACACAGACCTTTATACTGCAAATCTAAGTGTGCTACTCTTATACACATGTGTAATTTGGTGAAGCGCTTCTTGCACACGTTCTTCTGTTTAAAATCGCAACACGTGACTTGATAAACGTCATTTCAAAATAATCTTTTTAAATGGCAAGAAATGTGTAAAATAACATTGTGGTTTTAAACGGAAGAAAGCATATAAAAAGTACTTCGGCAAATTACATATATAAAAAGTGATACACTTAGATTTCCAATGTATATTGTACTGAATCTAATACTGGAAAGATTTTTATTGTTTAAACGTTGTTCACTGCATAGAAGCAACGAACGCGTTACTAAACAATTTGTTTTTTAAATAGAAATTGTCCCGGTATCAGATTCAGTACAGTATAATGATTATGAGGATGCCTAATAATTTTGTCACTGGCTATATTTATATTTATAATCAGTGATAAAGGCCTAGTAATCGCTCAGAGGGACTTTCCCGAGACTTGAAGATTTTTACTTTCGGTGCTTTTACAATAATCTCGTATTAAAATAAAGTATGATAGAGACCAAAGTATTTTAATTAGAATTATTTTAATGTGACACACAAATTGTATATTCTGTAAAAATATCCTGTAACGCTGTATTTCTACAAGCTATGTAGCGCTGTAGAGCAAGAGAGAGAGAGCAAAGAAGTTACAGAGCTGCAGAGCTTGTAGAGCGAAAATCTTATAGAATACAGGATTACATGCTGACTTAGCATTGAATTTTTTTAAAACGTTCGATCAGTCATTACCTGTGGAAATAATAATATACATTGTGTGAAAACACGAGGAATAGAAATAAGAATTGAATTAGGATAACCAAAGTGTAGGAAGACTTTTTGCATTCTGAGGACAATTTAAACGATTTAAAAGTTTGCATTTTTGTAAGAGAGGGGCACAATGAACGTTTGTGAAATATTCGAAACAATTCTCTGATAATACAATTAAAAGTGAGAGATGATATTGTACAATAAATACCCTTTACATTTCTCACATTTCCCTCTTTCACCATTGTTCTTGATCTGATTCGAACCAAACGCGATCATTCGCTGCGTTCAGCAGAAAAAGCTGCTTTCCAACTGTCATAAAGATTTTACCGACACATTCGAGTATAGTTTTTGCGCTGGTAAATCTTTTTATTAACTTTCACGCACAGAATAATGCCAGGATAAGTTGCGGACCACATAGCACAACATTTTCATACTTAAAACACTCGGGTCAGAAGTCCAATGAAAAAGATATTGGTATTTGAAATTTTTAACTTTTACATCGTGAGCAATTTGAAATTGGCTTTATAAAATTACAAAATTCCCCCACACGATTATAGTACGCATAAAAACAAAGCGGGAAGTTCACGGCTTTATATAAAGAAGCTTGGGTTCTAACTCAGTTCGAACAATGTCACAAAGCGTTGCGAGTTCTTTTCGACATTCGAAAAGTGGCTAGCCAATGGCCTAGTTTACATCGTGCACTTGATACGCGTATCAAGTAGTGTATTTGAGCTGATCAGCCAATGATTAAACTGATTTACTAGTTATTTACTATTTGATACGCGTACCAAGCGATTGATGTCTGACAGAGTGAAATGATCTACGATTCTGTGCCGAAAATCGTTACTCCTCTCTTTGGTCCATATTCTGCTTTGGTATTGAATGCCATCTAAAATAAGAGTCGGTGATTTTGGATCAGTCATTTGATTCCATTGTACAAAACAATTCATTCCTCTGTTGAAGATACAATTCTCTCAATTTTATCTTCATACGTTTCATCATATTCTTGAGACGTTCTTTCTGGCTTCGTGCTGCACATTTAAAACGTCGAATAATGTTATAAATGACGCTAGAATTTGTCCTCCGTCCATTATTTTTATAAATATCGACCGATTTACAAGAAGAGATAGGCCGGTATTCATAGTCGAATCTTCTATTCAAGACCGTTTTGAATTTATCTAAAGATACTGTACGGAACATTTCATTGGCTACGGAGTATCTAAAGATGATCTTGAGACGGTCTTGAATATAAGATCTGACTATGAATACCGGCCATAGACTTGTCACTCCGAAAACATGTGACTTTATCTGGACTAAAAACCTAACCTAACCTGACCTAATCTGTTTTGAGATAGATCGGTGTAAACAGGGAGGTATCAAATGTTCAGTCCGCACCACCTTGACGCGCGTACCAACCGATTTAACGGTGTAAAGGGGGTCATAGGCCGGTATTCATAGTCGATTCTTATTTCAAAATCATCTTAAGTATTGTCTTAAGAGGCTAATACGGCTCTGTGATTGGTTAAAAACACATTAAGAGTATACTTAAGACGATCTTAAATATAAGAACAGACTATGAATACCGGCCATAGATTCAAGCGAGAGCGCGCGAAAGCGGCGGCAGGAGAAGCCGCCGCGGGGCCACTCGTCGGTCCTAGGGATCGTCCGTACCGACCGACGGGAGTAGCGCGCGCGAGGTGGTGCGCGGCCGCGCCGCTAGGGCGGCCGCACGGTCGCCGCGAGGCCAGTCGATGTCCGACGAGTCCGCCGACGATTGCGGGGTCCCTACGCGAAACGTTACGCGCGCACCGTGTGCCCCGTTGGTGGCCGTGATTCATGTGTCGCGAGTATCGCCGTTCGTCGCTCGCGAATAGTGACGGATACCCGGTGCAGCTGCTGCTAACGGCGGCGGAGTTGCTGCTGGCGCAACGACGAGGAGCCTCGTCATCATCGTCACTCGCCGTCGTCGCCGTCGCCGTCGCCGCGCCGCGCTCGTTCCGCTCCACAATTATGTCACGAGGACGACCGCGGCCGCCTCATTGAGACTCTCGTACGCCGTCCGAGTCGAGCCGCGCTCGTGGCGCCGGGAAAACGGGGAGAGCGATCGGCCGCCGCGCAACGGCTTGTTGACAGGACAGGAGCGCGACATTTCCCCTCTCGACCGTGACTCGCTCGACTCCATCGTGTCGGTCCGCTCGCCGTCTCTCTCTCTCTCGCTCTCCAGTCTCTTTCCCCCCCTCCTCCTCTCACGTCTCTCTCGCTCCCTCTCGCGCCTGTGATCCGCGCTCTCCTTCCCCCTTTCTCGCTCTTCCCTTCAATCGTCGAAAGCGCGCACCTTTATCCCTCGCGTAGCCTCCGCGAGTTTCGCCTGTCGGGCCGGAAGGCTAGCGCTCGCCCACGGGAGAGGCGTCGTTAAATGCGCTCGGCCGCGGGGCGGAGGAGGAGGAAGAAGGGGCTACCCGCAGTCGGTCCTCACCACGTTGCCGTTGTCCAGTGATCTCGCGCGGCGTACCAACCACCGTCTCCCAACGCGAGGCGAGGCGAGCGATCCATCGGCTGTTCCCGATACGTAAATGGGTTTCGCCCGCCGCGCTTAGAGAGTCGCAACAGCCTCGCGGGCACCGCGGCTGTGTGCGTGCGCGCTGCGTCTCTGTCTCTCCTCGTGCGCGCGCGCGCGCGTGTGTATTCTGTGTGCGTGTGTGTGTGTGTGTGTTTTTAGTGCGCGCGGCCGTGCACGTTGATGTGCACGCGGCGTCGCGCGCTCGCCCAGGCAGCCTTCACGTCAGGACGGCATTTCTGAGGAGAGGAGTACCTTCGACGCACGCCCCCCCCGAGACCGAGAACCCGACATGATGAAGAGCAGTGCTATGATGAAGAAAGAGAGCAAGATGCGCATACGTGCTTTCCCGGTGAGTAATTCCGCGCCGCGAAATTTCCGCCTGGCCCGCGGCGCGAGGAGAAGGTGGGAGGGAGGGGTAGGCGAGAGGAGAGAGAGAGAGAGGGATGCCCCCTCGGCTCCCTCCCCGCCGCCCCTCGCGTCCACCCGCCGCGCACCGTGTCTTCTCGCGTTCACGCGTGTGAACGGCTTATTTATTTATGCATTCATTCATTTATTTATTTATTTATTTATTTATCCTGCACCCTTGTGCCCGACGCGCGGCGGCGAGAAGATGCAGCCGACAAACGTTATCCCACATAACCTCGACCACTTTTCTCTCATTTTTCTGACTCCTGTCCTCCTCCCCGATCGGAAGATCGTGGAAGAATCTAGCCGTAACCTCCACCTCGGACACTTCTCTCTAATTTTTTGGCTCCTGTCTCCCCGATCCGAGGAAGAATCTAGTCATAACATCGAACACTTCCCTGAGTTTTTGGCTCCTTACCCCCCGATCGGGGGAAGAATCTAGCCATAACCTCGAACACTTTTCCCTGATCTTCTGGCTCCCGTACCCTCGATCGGGGGAAGAATCTAGCCATCATCTCGGACACGGCACGGTCGCAAGTAATCAGGACTCGCGTGCCAATGAAGACCGGCCCGAGTTGTTTATGAATCAACGTCGTGCTAGAGGCGTAAGCTTCAAAATAGATAGTGGGAGCTTTCCAGCGAGCGACACAAGTCGACACAAATGTCGTTCTGTCTTTCTTCGCATTCAATGAATAATAAAGACAGAACGACACTTGTGTCGACTTGTGTCGCTTGCTGGAAAGCTCCCATTGATATGCAGTGTCGGTGTCGCGCCAAGTTTAAAAACTGACATCTCTGACATTTCATCTTTTTCCAGCTCCAAATGGCCCGTGTCCACTTGGTCCAAGTTCTAGCCTCGTGGACATGGGGCCTCAAGAGTCAGGCCCAGTCTACAATGGCCGCGTTCAGCAGACACAACTGTTGAGTGAGCGCTCACTCAACAGTTGTGCCTGCTGAACGTGGCCAATTGAGTTGTCAATCAGAAATATGTCGGTCCGTTCTCCGTTCTGGGGCTCGATTCTCGAATTCGTTCGAGAGAGAAACGTATGCGAAAATTCTGCCCTTACAGAGAAGTCGCAAGTTGATTGACTGTTCGCGTAGCTTTGAGGACCTGTGTCCACGATGCTAGAACTCGGTCCAAGTTCTAGTTTCCAGAAACGTGTGGCCAATCAACTTTCAGCTATTCCATAAAAGCTGCACGTTGATTGGCCACACGTTTTCCCGGAACTAGAAACTTGGACCAAGTCCTAGCGTCGTGGACACAGGCCTTTAGCCAATCGACTTGCAACTTTTCCGCGAGAGCAGAATTCACGCGTATCTCTTCCGAATGAATTCGAGAATCGCACCCCTGACTTCTGACTAACGACTAACAACGCATTGCGGACCGGACCTTAGAAAAAGATATAAAAAAAAGAGGTAAATCGAGCCGAGATTAAAGTTAATCAGCATTGATAGAAGTGGACATTGGACCTCGGTACGAAATAAAAATACGCACGGCGATACATTTATTTCATAAATTACGCCAAACGTATCAATCGTATTTCTCTCGTGCCGAACGTCTTTGTCTAAAGGCCTGTGTCCACGGTGCTAGAACTTGATCCAAGTTCTAGTTCCGAGAAATGTGCAGCCAATGAACTTGCAGCTTTTATGGAATAGCTGCAAGTTGATCTTGAACTTGGACCAAGTTCTAGCATCGTGGACACAGGCCTTAACTCAGTTTGCGACCGCGTATTCTGTACGCTTGTATTCCAACTATCACTTATCGGCGATACTTAAATTGAATAAATATGTTGCTCGCCGAAAGCGCGCATATGTTCCTAAGCACCGTCCGCGCGCGAGACGGACATTGTCGTCAAGAAAAGTAATTGGTGCTTTCCATTTAACGACGCAAGTATCAGTCTGTCTTTCTTCATCATCCAGTGAACACAACAGAGATAGAGGCCCGGTTTTTTACTTTCTGGTTAACTGTTAACCAGAGATTAGTTGACTTTCCATCTTTTTCTATATTATTATCTAAGGCTCGATTTTTTTATTTTCTGATTAACTGTCGACCAGAGATTAGTCGACTCTCCGTCTCTTCTCGGATAATAGCATAGAAAAAGACGGTGAGTCGACTAACTTCTGGTTAACAGTTAACCAGAAAATGAAGAACCGAGCCCTAAGAAGAGACTGGTAGGCCTGATTTTTTTCTTTTCATTTTCTGGTCGATTGTTAACCAGAAGTTAATCATCGACTCTCTAAGGCCCGGTTTTTCATTTTCTGGTCAACCGTTAACCAGAAGAGACAGAGAATCGACTAAACCCCCTCCTCTGGTTAACAATTAACCAGAAAATGAAAAACCGGGCCTATCTCTGCTCAGATAATAATACAAAAAAAAAGACGGAGAGTCGACTAACCTCTGGTTAACATTTAACCAGAAAAGGGAAAACCGGGCGAAAGTGATACTCGCGCCGGTAAATGGGAAGCACCGACTAGCAATGGTTACCATAGTAGCGTGGGGGGGACAGTTGTGATAAGGTGCAGCTGGATAACCATGTTAAATTTTTAACGTCACGTTTTGCCGTTCGTCAAATTCGCAATGCCAGAAACACCTTGTTCTTCAGTGCCGAATAGCGTAAATAAAGTTAAATATCGCCAGCAACTTTTCTCAACAGATTGGCGCGCGTGATATTAACAAGAGTCCGTACGCGCAAACGGTTTCTGTTTAATACAAATAACGGGTTGTATACGTAGAAACGTGTCCCTTTCCCAACCCGGCTGCTCTTCGTTTTTGCGAAAGTCCGCGCAAGAGAGGGATTTATTTCCAAAGTACATGTTTTTATATGTTTAATCGAAAGCTTGTCTCTGGTAAACGAATCCTTTATCGTAATGTGAATATAACGAATAGTGTGGATCTAATTCGAAAGTCTTACCTCGCTTCAAATTCAATAGCAAAGGATCTGCAGTTGCACGATTAGATCTGCACAGTTCCATTAAGTTTCATTTCATCGGCAGGTTAGACTTGCTCGCACCGTTCAATGTCTACGTGGTAAACTATGTTCACTTAACATATCATGTAACATAAATATTGTACATTTAAGGCGATTTCTTTGGCGACTGTTTGGTTCGTATTTAATTTAATTTGTTGCAATGAGAGACGCAGCGAAAGAAAGAGCAATGCAAAAAGATCGAAAGCATAAGGTGAGGCACCAACAAGGTTGTTGTTACAAAGTCTACCTGCTGAAGTTTGATACAAAGTGTACCAGAGTGTACACTCAGCGTCCTGAGTGCCTTTACACCTGAAGAAAGACGCTAAAGATGTCCAATAGGCAGATTTATTTTAATAAACTGAACTTTCTGTCGCAATACATCGAACTCGACGGCTATTTTCAGGTGTAAAGGCACTTATGACGCCCAGTGTGCACTGGTACAACTTCGGTACACGTACCAAATGATCGCCAAAAGCCGCCTTTAATAAGTGCCATTGAAAGTATGATAAAAAGAAACAAGTGATTCTGTCTTTCTCTCCCCAAGATTCCATTCGTAAATGTATGTGCATTTTCATGATCAAGGTTATGACAAAGCAAAACGTGCGAGCGAAACCTGTACAGAGATACAAAGCAGAACTGTAGAAAACGAAACAGAATGATGGATTATCAAAATGAAGATTACGATCTGCAGCAAGGCGGCAGAACGATCGCGCCGATTCCTGCGCCGGGATTAATATACAAAAACAATCCCCTCATAATTCGTAACACTCTTGTGAGAATTGTTATCTGTTGTATTGGTTGCTATGCTTATGCAGTGAGCATGAGTTAACATTCTTCCCCGAGGGATTGCATTCGCGTTCGTTTAATGTGTACTTAGTATTTGCAACTACGTTATTGTAAATTAAACACGGTCTTGTAAAAAGTCAAACGGACACGTGCATGTCTCAAGGACGTATTTCAGACATGCGTGCTGTATGGGAAGCAAATCAAATTCTTCGGGTTGCCGCACGGGGAGGATTTTCCCTTAAAATTTACCCCGAAAATTACGTAATCGTGAGACAACGTGGCGTTTTGAAGAGCTCTATGAGAGTTTGTGAAAATTTTACCATACATTTCACTAGTAATTTTACTTGGTATGTATTTTTATAAAATTTAAAAAAAACTCGCGTGAAATCCTACGAAAGGTCACGTCCCACGATTACACGATTTTCAGGATAAATTTTAAGAAAAAAATTCTCCGTGCAGTATTAATTGTCAAATTTAGTATTGACCGACCGCGAAGTTTGTTGAAGAAAAACGCACTTGGCGAGACCGATTAATACTAAACACAGGTTTTGTTCAAGTTAAAGTTAATAGAGACAATAGAAAAGGTCTTATTTAGTCGCCAGCCAATTAAAAGAACCATAAACACTCTGTTTTCGCAGACAACTATGGATGAGAAGTATGTAGAGAGCATCTGGACCTTACTGAAGAGTGCTATTCAAGAGATACAGAAGAAAAATAACTCTGGCCTCAGCTTCGAAGAACTTTATCGCAATGCTTACACGATGGTGCTCCACAAGTACGGCGAACGATTATACACAGGACTGAAAGAGGTCGTAACGCAGCATCTCGAAAACAAAGTGCGAGATGACGTTCTTCGTTCCCTGAACAATAACTTCCTGCAAACCTTGAATCTAGCGTGGAACGATCATCAAACGTCGATGGTGATGATCAGGGATATCTTGATGTACATGGACCGAGTGTACGTTCAACAGAACGATGTAGACAATGTGTATAATCTTGGATTAATTATTTTTCGAGATCAGGTAATTTTCACGCACGTTTTAATCCTGTATAACTAACTTTGGGTACGTAGAAGCTTTCTAGCGCGGTGAAACAGTACTTTCTTTACACGACTGTGGATTTTGCAGCGTTAAGCCGCCGTGACTTTTCTTCTTATGCGTAATGTTTGACAAGTTCCTTATTAATTTCAGGTGGTCAGATATGGATGCGTCAGAGATCATTTGCGGGAAACATTATTAGGTATGGTCGCGAGGGAAAGAAGGGGAGAGGTTGTAGATCGTAGCGCTATAAAAAATGCCTGCCAAATGTTAATGCTACTTGGAATTAACAATCGCCAAGTTTACGAGGAGGATTTTGAAAGGCCTTTTTTACAACAGAGTGCTGAGTTTTATAGAGTGAGTGCCCGATAATGAGATACACCCGCGATACTCTTTTGCGCGTATCCGTGTGTAACCGCCCACGATTTACTTCAGATGGAATCTCAAAAGTTTCTGGCGGAAAACAGCGCATCGGTATACATAAAGAAGGTTGAAGCTAGAATCTGCGAGGAGTCCGAAAGAGCGAAACACTATTTAGACGAGTCCACCGAGTCACGGATAGTAGAGGTTGTAGAAGAAGAGTTAATCAAAATACACATGAAAACCATTGTCGAGGTTCGTTCGTCTACTTATGATCTGGGTTATATTGGTGGACGCGATTGAACTGGGTTTGTATATTGTGTGTTATACCATGTTTCTGTGCTCGACAGATGGAGAACAGTGGTGTAGTGCACATGCTCAAAAATCAGAAAACAGAAGACCTTGGTTGTATGTATAAACTATTTTCGAGAGTGTCGGACGGGTTGCGCACTGTGTGCGACTGTGTATCTCAGTTTCTTAGGGAACAGGGTCGCGCGTTAGTGCAAGAGGAGCACGAATCAACCACAAATGCCGTTCTTTACGTCCAAAACTTGTTAGATCTAAAGGATCGCTTTGATCATTTTCTACATTATTCTTTCAATAACGACAAGAATTACAAACAGATGATAGCGTCGGATTTTGAATACTTCCTTAACTTAAATCCCAAGAGCCCGGAGTATCTGTCGCTATTTATCGACGACAAATTGAAGAAGGGTGTCAAAGGAGTTAGTATTGTGCACATAATTGCAATGTTACGTATCGCGTGACTTTCGATACATGAATATACTTGGTTCTAGATGACAGAGCAGGAGATTGAAGGGATCCTAGATAAAACTATGGTTTTATTCCGTTTCTTACAAGAAAAGGATGTATTTGAACGGTACTATAAACAACATTTAGCCAAACGATTATTGTTGAATAAATCTGTTTCAGACGATAGTGAAAAGAATATGATTTCCAAACTTAAGGTGAGAACCAAGTGATTTTCCAGACCAAAGTTATTTTGTCCCTATCAGTATTGCTTGCATTCTTATGTTTAAAAAAAAGTTAATAATATACATTGTTCATTATCCTTTTTTTTTAGACTGAATGTGGATGTCAGTTCACATCAAAGTTGGAAGGCATGTTTAAAGATATAACAGTCAGCAACACTATTATGGATGAATTTAAGGATCATGTTCTTACATCTGGCGTAAGTAACAAGATAATATAATAAAGTGTAGTAGACCAGTTAACAGAAGAGAATATAGCAAAAGATATATTTTGTTACGCGATACGTCTTGAATGTTCCTACACATAATTTTAATATTAAAATTTGGTATCAACAGCTGCGAACTATAAATTATCGCGCAACCAGAGTCACAAGCAAGATTTGTTAACACTTAATTTTCTGATTACGTTTAATTATTAAACATTATTTTAAAAGACATTTTGTGAAGTTAATATTCATGTACGTGCCATAGATTATTTAATGTTTTACCTGTATTTTTCATAAAGACAAATCTGCATGGCGTGGATATAAGTGTCCGGGTGCTCACAACTGGTTTCTGGCCGACGCAATCAGCCACTCCAAAATGCAGTATGCCTACTGCTCCGCGTGATGCCTTCGATGCCTTCCGGCGCTTCTACCTAGCTAAACATAGCGGTCGACAATTAACGCTACAACCACAATTAGGTAAGTTATTGGTCTTTACATCTTCATCAATGACCGTTTTTACTCAAACATTTAATAGTAATGAGCTAAATGATGAAAATTTGCGCAGGTTCCGCTGATCTGAACGCTGTATTCTACGGACCACGAAGAGAAGAGAATAATTGCGGGGGCTTGGACACTCCGTCGTCTTCGAGTTCTATTGGGAATGGCAGCGCGAGCAGTGGCTTAGTGAGCCAACGAAGCAGCCTGTGTAGTACACCACGAAAGCACATAATACAAGTTTCCACTTACCAAATGTGTGTGTTAATGCTGTTCAATAAGAGAGAAAGGTTAACGTATGAGGTTAGTTATGTTATATCAGTTTAACCAGCTAATTAAGCATATTTACATGTTGTTACACAAAGAATCAAAATGTTTGTAATTTTATATATGTATGAATATTGCGTAGGAAATTCAAGGTGAAACCGATATTCCAGAGAGGGATTTGGTCAGAGCGTTACAATCTCTTGCCATGGGTAAAGCTACACAGAGAATTTTACTTAAACACCCTCGTACGAAGGAAATCGAATCTACGAACTGTTTCTGTGTGAACGACAGTTTTACCAGTAAATTACATAGGTATTATCAGATACCTATATATATATTTTTCTGAAATAAATAATATATGTGACGTAAATAAGCATCTTTTATCGAATATTTGTATTGCTTTGTTAAGAGTGAAGATCCAGACCGTGGCAGCGAAGGGAGAATCCGAACCTGAGAGAAGAGAGACGCGCAACAAAGTCGATGAAGACCGGAAGCACGAGATCGAAGCAGCCATCGTACGAATTATGAAAGCACGAAAGCGTATGCCTGTATGTAACTTGGAACTTTTTACAAGTAGTACAAGTTCTTTCAAACTGAGAATAATTTGTCCATTGATACGTATTTCGCAAACGTAGAGAAATATTCTTTCACCCGAGATAAGTTGTAATACTGTGTGGAATGTATAGAGCATAATCAATTAATGTTCTCTTTTACTAGCATAACATACTGGTAACAGAAGTGACAGAACAGTTAAGAGGTCGATTTTTGCCTTCACCTGTAATAATTAAGAAACGTATCGAAGGCTTAATTGAACGAGAATACTTGGCCCGTACACCGGAAGATCGGTATGTAACGCATTGCCAGTACTTACTACAGAAATATAAACTAACGATGTTGCTCTGCGATTTGCAGGAAGGTGTACACATACGTTGCTTAATGCTGAATACAATATTGGATGTGTACAAACATGTAAGTAATTTGTAATAATATATCCTCTTACTACACATTAATGATTCTTCATATTTTATTCACCGAATCACTATCATTTGTAGCGTCATTATTGTTATTCTTCTCGTTACTATCTTATTTCTCGGTTGTGAATTTATATCCAAGGGATATTCCATGCCAACAAGAAAATATATTTCCAGAGACTTAAAATATTCTGATAACCATTGATGCTTATTTAGCTTTAAATTTACAATGTATGATGTTCTTTGCAGGAGTGTATGATTGGGAAATTTATCGAAAATGGTAAGCTGTCGATTACGGCTGACGTTGCAAATATATATTAAAAATAAATAGAAATGGGCCATTATTGAGTGCTGAAGCTGTAAGATGGTGTATTACGTTTATAAAATATCCATTATAAAATATTTGATTTGAATTAGACATTTTATACGCTTGTTATCATGGAACATCTCTGTAATTGAAATGAATGGCAAGATATTCTTTTGATAATTGACTAGTTTGGTGGAAAAGGTCGACGTGTCAAAGAAATTTTGCACTTATTGTTACATCTAAATCAGGGAGGCATTAATTTTTTGTTGTTAATAATTAACGAAGATATTGTATCTGCGCTTCAACTCCACATTTCAATTACATGTGCATTTGTTTAACATACACTTGTATTACAATACACCTGTAATACATGTGAGTACTCATTATAATAAATATGTATTCTAAATTAGAGAGATTTTAGTTAATGTACGTTTCTAATGATGCAAAATACAGTTAAGTTACTGAAGACGATTCGCATTGATAATATTGCAATTAGGAACTTTTCTACACTTGTAAGACTGTGATTGTCTATGATAACATAAATATTATCTGAATATACCGTGAATTTAGGAAGAAAAATGGTACATTTACATATAGTTTTATTTACGTTGATGTCTATCAATTATATATGTAAATAAGTGATGTGAATGTATTATTAAGAATATACTTGTCTCATTTCCAACAACTCAATATTATTTTTCAAGTCTGCACTCCACATCCCTAAATACAAATCATGTTTATCTTCTTATATAATATATATACACATGACTCGTAATACATAATGCATACGTTAATTTTCATCTGCTAAGTCTAATTTTGAACATATAGATATGTTTTTACATTATATTTTGTATTTATATAAATATATAATTTGAATTCATATAGTAATAAACATACATGCTCTCGAATGTAGACGAACGCTTAACAGCTTCCGCCTCTTCCACCTAGCTTCTCAATCATTTCATTGCAACTCGGTCCAGTACTAACTGTTTACAACACAAAATATTTATTATAGTATGCCAAAAGTGGGATCTACGAATCTGTAAGAGATGCAGAATTTGTTAACCGGATAAAATGTGCGCATGAGATTAAATAAAGGTGAAGACTCTTAATAAAATGCAGTTCAATTCAAACGTGTATTGCACAATTTCACGTTGTAGTGAAGAAAAGCGAGTTATTGGTGTCGTGTTTTTATTTGTATTTTCTCTTTATTGATTAAGATGAAGTTTTAATATTTAAATGAAGATTTCTCCTTTTTTTTCTTACACAGAACCGAATAAAATTAAAATGTTACAACAGCACTTATTATTCCTGGAACATTCACCCTGATACATTAATTTTTTTTATACAAAGTTTAACACGCTAAAATACAAAATACCCAGTTTACCCTAAAAAATTACTCTTGCGAAGTTTTACATATAGATATGTGTAAAACTGCATATACATATATACACACACACACTATATATCAGAATAACAGCCAAACAGCATATATGTAATGTATATTTGTAATACTAAAAATAAATGCTGAAGTTATTCCTACGATTTAACAATGAAACCATAAGCTTATTCGTTGAGAATATATCCATACATTTACACTATAATAACTGTATAAAGTTTTTACGTAAGTAATAATATCCTATACGATGAACAGTGTCCAATTAATTTTCTTATAGTCTTTGAGCTACATTACTGATCATAATGATTAATGTTGCTTCAGTATGTTTTATTGTCCCGAGAAATTTGAATAAATACAGGGCAAAGGTTAAACAATTAAAATATGATTTTGTTACTTTCATAATTATAGAAACATAAAAATAAATTGTTCAACATGTATCTTCACAATATTAAATATTTTAATTTCAACAAAAAAAATTTCTCGTCTAGCGATTTCAATTTTTATAGCATTTTGCTAAACAACTATTTATCTATATGTGCTGTTAAGAGATAAATGTGAAAATTTCACTAGTATTTCGTGTCATTTTCAAAATATTGCCATAAATTTCTGCACAAGTATAAATCGCAGATTAAAATGCAAATGATATTTCATGTAATCATGAAGATTTTACGAATTCTTATTAAAGTATATTGAATAGGAGAAATAATTTTAATCACGTTTATATCAAAATATATAACTTACTAATCTTGAAATATTGTATTTCTTAATTTTATACAAGTATTCAATAAACACAGCACACATAGTATAAAGAAGACATTTCATATTCTAGTAATTGGAGCTTTTGTCAATATTTCATATATTACGTTATATTTGTATAGCTATTATATTACATATATACTTAATGGATAGAGAGTTGTAATAACTGTTTTGCCTATTTAAATATATTATCAGGCCATATAAAAAGAATATTCACACAATTCTCATGTAACATTAGCCTTTAAGCCCATTAGGAAAATCAGAAACTGCAGCAATCAAATGGAAAGAAAAATGACTAGGACTCCTTTCCAGTGATTTCGACCATGTCGTAACCTTGTTGATTATTCTTTTTATAATTTAAATGACATTTGAAAAAAAGTTCAATGTTTTTACTCTTGATTTTTGTTTTTCGGTAATCATCACGAAACGTGTCGGAGAATGCTGTAAATAAATTTGATAATTGTATCAAATTTTATATTAAAGCATTTTAAGATAGTTCTGTACAGGATACAAAATAAAATCTGCAAACACCTTGTGAAGAAAATTTATATTGCATTTAGATATTGAAAAGTGGGGTCAAAAATAAAAACGGTTTACAATCTGGAATCGGTCGACGAAAAATGTTAAATTATATATTCGCTACATTATTAAAAAATTGTATATCGCACGACGATCTCTGTTTAAAAAAAAATTGAAAATTGAGAGCAAACGTTCCTCGTTTTTATTACTTGTAATCTTAATATTAATAACAGTTATAAAGCAGTAGCTATAAATTCGAAATGCAATTATAAATTAACATCTTAAACGACATTGGAAATTATACGTACTTTAATACATACTGTATTACATACGCTGCTACATCTGACAAACATGACGTCTCTATGCTGAACCGTTTTCGTCATCGTATACATTCCTACAGGATCAAGCTGGAATGTAACGATTCTCGATGATAAATCAAAGTATAATTGCATATGACTTCAAGTATAAATTGTATACAATATGATACAGTTATTTATTATATATAATTATGCAATTTATGTACTTAATAATGCAATTTACTGTACTCTGAAAAGTTCATCCCACTTCTTATAAACATTACAATTTGCGTATATTCATATCGTCGGTGTTAACCAATACTGTACAGAGTCATCTCAACTCGAATCTGTGAGATTTCACGGGGATTAACAGACAGGTATACATTGGCTCGAGTTTAAATCAGCTGACGGGCGGCAGGCATCGTGGTGGTGATGGTAAGTAAAGCTAATCATTCGGGGTTATTCGTTAGAAGATGATGATTCCCGCCTCTTCTCGGCATGCTTTTTCGTAAATTCTTCGGCATTTTTTAAAAACTTTTTTCTATCCTTCAGAAATTCCTCAGCTAAATCCGCTCTCAAGGGATGCTCGGGCTCGGGATCATTCACTAATGCTATCAAAGCTTGGATCACTGCAAGCGTAAATGGCACATTTTTAACTAGAAATATCCCGCTTTGTCTCGAGAAAGAAGCGCGATTAAAATTCATGTTCGCTGCCTTTGGAATATCAAGTTTTGCACGCTGACAGTTACAATTGCACTGAAAAATACAAAAGAGCCGTGGAGTGAAACGCAGACTGACCTTGGTCCGTCTTCGTAGCAGGCTTCCAATTTTCCGCGCTTATAATTGGCAAACATATCTGTCCTTTTTCGTCTACATTTGGATGATATATCTTTGTTTTAAAATTTATTCTTGGCGGTTTGAAGGGGTATTCTGCGGGAAAATTGATTTCGATGCGAAACGCACCTTTATTATAAGGTGGATTATCCTGTGGAAGAAAGCACCTTATGTCTTCACTGGTAAACTAACATACGTTAAGTCTCGTGTCCGCGCTGCTCGATCCGGGAAACGTGTGGCCGACGCAATTGCCGGTTTTCCGTAAAAGCTGCGAGTCGACTGGCGATACACACGTCTCTCGGATCGAGCTGCGTGGACGCGAGGCCGCATCGAAGAAAATCACAGCAGTATCACGTATGCAAAATACGTCACGATAAGAACATCCTATGCATACTCTTTTAAGCGATAAACAATGTTTCCAACAATATTCACTACGTAAAATAGAACAGTTGCGATGAATTTTATCCACAGGAATCTACGAGTTGCACAATTTATATAATTACATTCTTGCAGCAAACTTACTGCACGTCCAGTACTTACACGTCGCTAATCAAGCGCGTCGAGCAAACTTTCGTACACGCATTTAAATAAGCTGCCGATACCAGCGTATCGCGGAACACCGTGGGAGTTCGGCATTAGAAAGTGACTCCCATACGAAGGATAAAAACAGATTTGAACGTACATTCATGTAACGTACCGTTGAACGGCCACATTTTTATCTAATTTCCCTCCTCTCTCTCAAGAACGTTTGTCTCACCTCGGGTGTGAAGGAAACGCACTCCTGAGAGAGAAATTGGACGAGTCACGACCCGCGCGCGCGCGCGCGCGCGCGCCGTATTCTAGGTTACGTACCCCCCGCGGTACCCGCGGGGAATCAACGACACGACGACGAGGACGTCGACGTACCGGCAATATCAGGCCCTGCCAGGTGAGGATATTGGACTCGTCTACTTGGATATTTGTGAAGTTCTTCATCGCCGACGCCCTGAGGTCGCCGAGTTCCTGGAAAAAGCCGTAGGCTGAGAATGGTCGGCGGAGCCGCGGTCAGGTCGCGCGGAGTCCCGAGGCCGCGCTCGGGACGGACGCGGGTGGCCGTCCGCGGGGAAGGCGGCGCGCGCGACTAGGCGCGGAGCGGATCCCGGGGCGCGGGCCGACCCCGCGCCCCGAACTGCCGGCGGCATCGCCGAGCGGCCCGCGGCACGAGACGGCGATTCTCGCGGCGGGGTGGCCCTCGCACGTCAGCGACGAGGCCGAGTGACGTGCGCGAGGGCCCGCTGCCGCCGAGGGCGCCGAGCGACACGCGCGCGAGAAGGAGCGTGTCGGAGCGCGCGCGGCGACGACGGCGACGACCTCGCCGCTAGCCGGGCCACCGGTCCCCCCCCCGTCGACGTCGGCGACTCACCGCGGATTCACGGCTACCTCGAATTTACCTTTTGCAATCTCCTCGTAGCAGCCATTTTGAAAATAAATTCCACCAAAAGCAGCAAAACTTGCCGAGTCCGCCGCCAGTGCGCGTCTCCCGCATCAAGAGATTTCCCAGGGCGCTCGTCCCCCCCGGAGGATGATAATTCCCCGCGCCCGGCGCTCGGGTTTCCTGGGTGAGGGAAAAGATGGCGGCGCGGCGGGCGCGACGATCGGTCACGCGCGGCGGCGCGAGGTGCAGTTGCGCGAGGTGCAGTTGCCCGCGGTTACCCACGGCCGCTCGGCTCGAGGAGCCGAGAGACGCGCCGCGATCGACGCGCGCGTCGCGTGTCCCGGGATCTGCGCGAGAGCCTTTCGGGGGTAAACACTCGATCGCTCTCTCTATCTCTCTCTTTCACTTTATCTCTCGTCCGAAATTTTCGGAAATACCACTTCGGTTCCCGTGTCGACCGAGTCTACAATTTCTACCCTGTAAATCATGAACGCTCTTGTAGTTTAATTTGCAATGCATCGCTGATTCTAACGAAAAACAATGTTGCTCGCGAAAGAGTCCCAAGACTCCCAAGTAGGACAAGTTAATCGCAATTAAACGTCAATGCGATCACGTTAAAATGATGGATTTCGAGTCGCAAAGTGATCGACGTCAAGATTTACTTTGCAATAAACGATCCATGGCATGTTTTATGATATTCGTGACGTGTATAGTAATATATTATTGCAGATTACACGATCGGTCGTATATTATGTTTATCTTCTATCACTTCGATTTATTTTTAATGTATAATATTTAACTAACTTTGCTTTGTAAAACAAGATCGTTTTTACAACATTTTGATGTCTTGATGTCACAAATAGGTGCTCTCGGTGGGCTGTTTTGACGTCACCATGTCGCATAAAAAATGACCAAAAAACGATGTCATCTTGACGCTTTCACGACCAACACGTTCTACTTGGGATTGATGAGAATTGCGCTCGCTACGTCTAGAGGCAGTCTATTTTATTTAAGCGAGTCAAAACGCTTAACAAGTTAGTCGGCGACGTACGATTGTACAGTGTGTAATGCACATGGCTTATCAACTCGCACAAAGTTGTTTTTCAATTATCGATTGCATAAGTGTTTCTAGACATAGAGGCCTGCATTCCGCATCCTCTTCGATAAAAGCACCTCTACAAGTGGTTTGCAGCCAATCGGAAGACTCGTTAGCCACTTTTAGAGGCGCTTTTATTGATACGAGCCGAAGAGCACATTGCAGTTCAGACCTGAATAAAGAGTTGATGTGCAGCCAAGTACTTTCATCCCTCACAATCAGTTACACCGAAGTGATATTAGAGCATTGTTGCGATTCAAAACATCCAAGCTTGGTCTCTGAAAACCTTCGTCTCTTGAGTTACACGTTATTTATTGTTGCAGCGAACGAGATGCAAGCCAGAAGGTGCACGGCGAGGCGTGTTTAACTATTCCACGCGGCCGAATTAGTGGCGGTCTCTCGTGAGTCGCACAATTATCGTCAAGTTAATAAGTAAGTTTAGCACTGCGGCCGGTTTATAAACTTACATAAAAACTTGGTAGGTAGGTACAGGAGGAGCTCCGCAGGTGGCTCGAGATGAGGGAAGTGCAGTGGCAGAAAAATCTGTACGAGAACTACGGACTGCCCGATAATTACACGGACAGCTCCTTCTTGGAACAGCTGCGTAAGAACATAAAACCGAACAACGTGACGTTGATAGAGGCGATAAGCCTGGGCGCCAGCGTATCCACGAGGCTGAACGTGGTCGTGCTTTTCGTCATCATATTTATTTGGCTGAACAACGAGTGGACGACGCCGAACGTCATCGTAATATCAGGGAGCGTCATGACGGTCCTCGGGTACTTCGCGTACAATATGAAGGTGCCCGATCGACCTGTAAAACCGACGAAGGATCTGTGGACAGTGTTAATATTTCTAACATTTGGCTACGTACTGTCGCCCATTTTGAAGACCTTGACGGAAACGATCAGTACGGATACGATTTATGCCATGACGATATCGATGTTCCTCACCCACTTAATATTCAGCAAGTACGGATCGTCACAGATCTTCCTCACGGACTCCCTGTCCATAACTTCCTCGATCTTCGGCTCGTTGATGCTGGCTTCCAGATTAGCGTCCCCGTTGCACGCCTTCTCGCTCTTAACCGTCTCAGTTCAGTGCTTCGTGCTGTTGCCTTATTTGCTGTCACGGATAAATAATAAAATTATTACATCGGCCGCCCTGACAGTCTGTACCATATATTTGCTTCTCTTTATTTCGCAAACGTTTTCCTACGTTTTTGTTATCGCTATAATATTCCTTGATATTGTCTGTCCACTTTGGTATATCAGGTGCCAGAAGTACAAAGATAACATTTACGGCCCTTGGGACGAGGCAATAATCGCCTCTTGAATAGAAAGCGTTAGATTTCTTTAAGAGTATTAATAACGATTTTAAACTTGCACATATGTATATATGTATAGCAAAAATATAATCCAAAATTGTATATTTGAACTCTTTGAAATACAATATTCTATATTTATCACGTATCTTTACATAGTATCGTTTATGTTATCCATGTAATAAATAATGATTTTACAAGAATATACTTTATTGCGTTGATGTATGTGTCAGATAGAAAAGGAGAATACGGAAGAAATGTTAATATAAATCTATCAACACACTTGGCAGGAGATGCGAGAGAAAAAATGTTTTATGCAATTTTTCCCTCGATTCATTCCCGTACATAGATCAAAATCAGCTCTGCATATCAACCGATCTCTTATCTAATATCGCAAGTGATATCTTTTCGTGTCTCAGTTTTATGCAATTTCTGGTTTTTCTGCTAATCTAAACCAGAATGAGCGTTTAAATAACCGGAAATTCTAAGCGTATAAAAGCGACCTTGTGAAAGAGATCAGTCGATATGGGATTCCAAATAAATTTAATCGATTTCACTATTTTTTTTCACCTCCCTAGTAAATACTGCCTATCTATTACAAAACGACGGCTAACGATAAGTGGAGTATACAAAGTGGAATAAAAAATATGTACCTAAACATAATTGAATCTATGTACGTTTAGAAAACGTTAATTCATTATTTTATAGTTATAAATTGTAACAATCTTTTAATTCGCCTTATAAGGGCTTCGATAAAGCTACGGTCCACTGTCGCGTATTCGCTGTGCGTTGTGTCCAGCAGCTGTGTGATAAAGGTGTCCGTAAATGTAGAAACGAGTCCCTGCTTCAGCTCCGCTAGCGTTTCCAACGAAACCTTCCATTCTATCATGCTCTCGTCGACGCCACCCGAGGTAACTGTGTTTAACATACATGACCAATATATTACAATATTAAATGTTTCATTCAAAGGAATAAGAGCCAAGGCAGGATGTTAAATGTCCAAATAATTTTAATTTCCTTGGCTCTTATTCCTTTGAATCTGTGATTTCACATCAGACCCTTATGAATTAAATGTTTGATTATAAACTACGCGCATAAACATATAATTTGTAATTTAAAAAATTGAATTAGACTTCACTAACCGTGCACTCGTTGAGTTTGCCGCGATATGACCTGCATAGTATAAAAGTCCAAGTGACTCCAAACAATGTACAAAGCATGCTCTATTATAAGAGAGCAATATTTTATACTTTGTCGCTTGTCCTTTATCCAACGATTTAATTTCTGCTCGACGAGCAGTCGTTGTTTCCCTATGTCGAGCTCCACCTCGTTTTCGGACATGTACTGTCAACAAAATCAACCTGTGTTAAGCTTTTAATACGGCGCGTACGCGAGTAGTAAATTCAATTGTAAGATTTAGACGGCACTTACTTTTTTCAATTCCGCTGTACTCATGTCGGTTACCACTTGCGCTTTCTTTATCAGGGAGTCGATGTGCGGTAGCTCAGTGTGCAGCAGATTCGTCACGGAGACCAGCTGCTCGACAATCGTGCCCAAACACACTCCACCAGAGGTGTCCTTTGTCTTGTCCTGTCGTCTTCCAGGCTTCGGCGTTAAATGAGGATCGAACAACACATTCCGTATTTTCTGATCCATGCGACTGTGTTGCATCTGAAATTATTCACTTGTAACGCAATGTACGCACAGTGATGGACAGAATGGTTGCGACACTTTTTTCTTCATCAGTTTAGGAACATGCATTTAGACCGAGGGTTACGTTTCAAAATCTTCCCCGAGGAATATTTTACGCGATGGCCATTCCGAAATCATTTTGAGCGTTTCCGATCTATTTCTCGAGTTCCTAAACTCATTTTTTTTAAAAAGTGTCGCAATTCGGTCCATCACTGTACACAGACAAGTTCACTGAAGATTCTAACTCGAGATTCAAGACCGTCTTAAGATCAACTTTAAATACTCCGCAGCCAATGAAATGTTCCACACAGCATCTTCACATAAATTCAAGACAGTCTTAAATATAAGATCCGAACTATGAATACCGGCCCGAAGTGTCCAGGTATTCCTGCCTGTCTGTGTACAACGATCACGCTTTATGACATTACCTGGTTGCGCGTGTACAGCATGACGTTGGCGACTATCTGAATGCAAGAGATATACTGCTGGTTCGCGTCAGCTTGCTGGTAATTGTGATTTATCGGGATCGACTGCAGCTGAAACTTGTGTAACAACGACAGCATCAACTTCTGCAATCGGTACAGATGCGCTCGCAATTCTCCCATCCCGGTGCTGTTCTCCAAATTGTAATCGTCTATGTTGATTTTCGCCAGTTCCTCGTCCACGAGTTTGTACATGTCTGAAATTATATTTGCCGGATTATATTTATATGAGCCAAATTATAAGAATATAAAAACAGTTCGCGACCAAGAATACAAACCTATATTAGCAGATCTAGATATTACGCCGGTGAGACACGCGATCTCCTTCAGGAAGAGCACGTTGGCGTGCGAGAAGGCGTTTCTCAGGGCCATTTCTACGGTGTCCCGGTGACTCTGCAGAAACCCGCAGACCTGCACGGCGCACGATTGATTCTCCGTGCCCAGAGTGGTGAACAGAGCGTCGCAGAGATACAAAGCCGGTAAGAAAATCTGCTGATAGCGCTGCCCGACGGAAGGTATGAACGAATAATCGCCGTCCTCGAAGCCTAAGTGCACGTCGGGGTGCTGGTCGAACGCGCACATACTGGACATGCAGGACAAGATCTTGTTCTCCAACAGGCTCTCCGCGCCCAGTCTCGTCGACGCCATCCTACAGAAGATCGCCATCTTCGCCTCGTACAGGTACAGGGGCCGCATCGTCTGCGGCTCCGGTTGCAGCATGCATCGCAGCAGACCGTCCGACTCCAGCAGGCTGTCTATCATATGCTTCAAGTAGCCTCTGCTCGCTAAATAGATCATCCACGCGTTATCGTAATCCAATTCCAGGATCTTGTCCAGGCAGGACAGCGCGAGCATCTTGCACACGTCGTGCCCGCCCGTGCAATTGTGGCAGAGGATATCCATCAGCTGATTTCCGAAGCTGTTGATGACCTGGATCGTCGCGTAACGTTGCGAACGTTCCTGCACGGGCATCAGCTTGTTTAACGAACTGTCCAGTTGGCTGATATACATGGAGTCGATTGCGCTCACGTGCTCGGACTTCTCCAAGCCAACGATACTCAGAAAGTTCAGCAGGGCCGCGTAGAGATGCGTCACGACTTTCTGCGAGGACGCGCCGGCGTTTATGATCCACTGTAAAATGTGGCTCAGGATAATCTTCATCATCGTCGTGTTCGACGGCGACGACGGCAGTAACTCGTTGTCCGACTGAATCACGCAGCTGTTTCGCAGGTTCACCAGCAGCATCAGGACCGTTCCGGATACGAGAGTCTTGATCTCGCTCAGAGCCTCGCAGGACGTCATCTTCTGCAGCAGATCGTGCGACAGATTCAACAGGAGATTCTGCCGTTGAGCCACCGGCAGTTGCTGATTCGTCGCGACGGAGAAGAGTATCTCCGTCGTTTGGCACCAGCCCTCCACAAATTTAACAGTCGCGTAAGACAGGACCTTGGTCTGATTCTTCTTCAACGCGTGCGCAAGTATGGACTTCACCTCCTGCTGCATGAGCTTGCGCTGGGTAGCGGTCGCGCTGCTTTGCGTGACCGTCAGTTCCTCGGTGATGAGAGAGTGCAGCTTTCTGATGTCGATGAGCCACGGGCCGCCCATCAACGCGACGGGAATGCTACATTTACCCAGGACCATTTCGATCTGCGACGGATCGAAAAATTCCCACGATTTCGCAGGCTCCAGATACAGCTGGAAGTCGATGTAATGTAGGAGATCCATCAGAAGCTTCTGAGAGGGCACGATCTGATCCTTGTCCTGATTGAAACTCCCCACTAGACGTTGAATCAGGGAGGTCTGCAAGCTCCCGCCGGCGACTCGTAGCTCGATAGCCGCAATTTTCAACAGCCAGGACATGCAGCCGAGCTCGGTCGACCTGTTCGGTGCCTGAAACGGTAATTTGGACAGGTGTCTCTGCACGAAGTCCTGGTTACTCGTGGTACGTAAAAATCTGAGAACAGGCGCCGACGTTTTACTGTTAGCCGCCAACGTGTGGAGATAACAGTAGCAGGCTTCGGTTATCTTGTCGCGGCCGCGCTCGAGGGACTGCTCCAGAATGCCCAGGATGGAGTGCAGGCAAGTGCGCGGAAACCCGAGGATTCCCGGCTGCTGGATCGCGGTCTTCTTGATGTCCTTGGTTATCTCGAAGCCGAGCAAGTAATGTGCGATATTGGGCGCGGGCCGCGTAATACTGTGCATCATCAGGAGTAGAATTCTTTCCTTGCAATTTCCGATCGGCTGCCTGCTCGGCTCGTCCGCTCCGATTATCTCGTCGTCGTCCTCCGGTACACTGTCCGCGTCCAGGCACTCGACGAAGCCGTGCCTGACGTTCGTCGCTAACGTGGAGGTTGCCGTGAACGTCGACAGCAATTCGGAGTCCGCTCCGGGCTCGTTAGTCACGCCGTGAATAACGCCGACCGCCACGAAGGCCTGTTTCGGCAACCACGAGTTGTAAGAAACGTACTTTACGATGCTGATCATGTGATCCGGCTTGCCGGTGCGAGGATTAACTCCGAGCAGCAAACGCGACAGTCCGGTCATGATTTTGTTCACGGACGGTATGGCGGACAACTGCGTCATATAATTGTTCTGCATCTTCAATCCACGCTCCAGTATCTCCAAGCAATAGAGACTGCAGCTCTCGAGATGTCTCTTGCCCGGGAAATAGTCGTAGGTGTCGAAATGATGGCAACCCTCGTCCATGATGAACAGTATCACGTGCAACAGTTCAGAAGTGGTGTGCAGTTGCGTCATCAAATGATATCCTGGAGCCGAATTGACCAAGGTGGACTCGCCGCCCTGCAACTCGACTTTGCAGCCCACGAAATCCTCGACGGTCGGCTCGTACTGCTTTATCAGCTTCGAGAATATCTTCAAGCAGGCTCTCGCCACCTTCCACTTCTCGGCGGGATTTTTGTAAGAGCGAGTGTGGAATCTCAGGAAGACGGTGTTGATGATGAAGTGCAAGTACGGATCGAATCCTGGGTTTCGTTGACCTACGCCCAACAGACGTGGTATCGGGAAATCAGTGAGCACGTCTAATAGCTCTAACATGGCGCGCGTTAACGGGTACTCCTCGTTCCTAGATTCGATCTCTTCTAATTCCGTCTGCACGCCTCTCGGCTGGTAACTGCTCGTTGTCGGTATGGTGGACAGAAACTGAGCGGCCTCCAAGCTCTGCCAAACGGTGGAGGAACTCTCTGGAGATCTGGCCAGGGCCGCGAGAGTCCTCACCAGCACGCCCTTCAACGGTATCGGCATCGCGCAGCTCACCAAGCCGATCAAAGATTGCAAAACTTTCCAACTCGGGTGATCGCATATCGCCACTCTCGACATTTCGTCGTTCTTAGCTATCACTTGGACAACCAACAGCACTGCCTCGAGACCTTTAACTTCCTGAGGCATAATTCCTTTCGGATGGCACCTCTGCCTATACACTGTGTCCTGACTAGGAGGTAATTCCTGCCTTAAATTGTAATAGTATCGGTTTAAGGAATTGAAGAAATGATCCCAGGAAATAGTTGTCGAACCCGATGAACCTATGTAACACAGATACATTTACATAATTTCACTGTCCCAACAACACAAATACATTTTGCTCAAAATAATCGTACTCACCGTTTGGTTTAAAAAAATTAAATGCGTATCTAGCCGCTTGTGGCGACGAGGCGAGAGACGCTATCATCTTCATGTATGGAACGAACAAACCTGCCGGCAATATCTCTCCGGCAAGCCGTATAAATTTAAACAAGGCAACTTGTCTAGACGGCAGGCGACTGATGTACGCGGGAGCCGACACATGAGTCGTGTCGGTATGATGACACCAGTAGTCCATGGCTAAATTTAATTTCAATGGATCTTCCTTGTACAGTTCCGCTATCATCAGCATTAAATATTCGAAATGATTGTCCAGGTTCATCGGAGGTTCGATGCCCTCCTGCTGGAACGCTTGAATCAAGCGCATGGACTCGTCGGCGCGACTGCGTAATTCTTTGATCTTAACGGGCATCAGTAATATAAAGTCGGAAATCAGCGTGTGAAAATAACGGACGTAAAACTCCTCCTGATGTATGTAACTATTCTTAAGTAAAACTTCGGCCATAAAATGGAAAGCTTTGTTAGCCAGAGCGGCTTCCAGTATCTCGTCCTCCGCGTTAATGTTCTGAGACTGAAATTGAGTGGTGGTGGTTTTGATGGTAATCATAGCTATCGCTAAAGCAAACTGTATCACTCCTCGCAAACCAGCACTTTCCCAATTTATGTTAGTGGAAATCAACTTTTGATTCAGTTCCTCCAGCGCTTCCCTTTCCGCTATCAGTGGCATTGAATTAATTAGCTCTGAAATAACGAATTGCAATTATTATAAAAGCTTTACGTCGGCAGGCCGGGAATAATAAAATATATATTATACCTTCGCCGTTTTCGCGACTATGTAAGAAACTAAAATTGAAGGCATTCAAAACGGCCATAATGAGCGCAAGTGTAACTTTGTCAGGTCCCCCTTCGCCAGCCTCGGATTCTACTTGACGCGTTTGCAATATAGATAACAAACGGAACAGAATTATATTCGGAAGAGACGATTGCGCGGACCATAAGTACAAAATATCAGCCAGGTCTTGTCGCGTGTCATTGTATAGTTTCATGACCATCTGATGATGCTTCGCTCCGCCTAATGCCCTATTTTGTTGCAGCAAGTCTTGTTCCTATATAAAATTATTTTCAGCACAATTAATATATTCCCAAATAACTAACAAAGTATAGAAATTGCTAAATATTATCAGCTAATTATCTAAGTCAATAAAATTACATTTTTTACAGCTCTTGATAAAAAAAAACATATATTTCTCCTTATTCTTATTTTTCCTCCCTAGAATACCTTAGTGGGATCCATTTCCTCCAGCAAGGATAAAATCCTATTTAACAGACCATCCTCTTGCAATTTATTCGTATAGTCAGTAATGTGCCTTGTAAGAGCAACCGGTGCATCCACCGCCCAGCTGTGACCAATTCGAGTGTGCACCAAGGTTCTTAATACTGATGTCAGCGCTTTCCTTCCATCGTAATACAGAAGAACAGCAGTTAAGCCGCGGGTTAAACCAGGATGATGCGGCATTTGAAGCTGAGCGGTACAGAGGAGATCCAGCGCCATGAACTCGTTCAAATCATACATGTCCGATATAATGAGCGTCTCGTCCACTAGCTCCTTCGATAACGTTTGGTGACCCAAGCCAGGTAGGGTGATACCATCCGTGACTCCTTTCTTAATTTCTTCTCGGCTCTTGGCATTCTTTGGCTAACGTATAGAAAATGTAATATTAAAGTACACACACATACACACATACATAATATGGAGAGAGAAAGCACCGTAATGTAGTTAACATTATAGCACTTGTACATTTGGAGTAAAATTATAAATGGCCATTTAATAACCAGAATAAAAGAATACTAGCTTACTGGATTCTTTAATATCGTGAGAAAATTCTGTCTGTGATTCCGCAAAGCCTCCGTGAGCTCATGATACTGAGGATCTTGAGTATCGGGGACCGATATCACATACTTCTCAACAAGGCTTTGTAATTCCTTGTACGGGGTCCACATATCTTCCGTTGCGATTACTCTGTCTATATAAAAAGAATACACCCTTTTAAACTCTGACATCGTCATTTATAACTGCATACTAAAATAAATATAATAAATAAGCAAATTAATAAAATTCGTATGGCTCGAATGTGATAAACGCAAATTTGAAGGGATAAAGGGACTAAGAGCCGTGACAGGGTCTTAGTGTCCAAATATTTTATTCTAAATTTATTGCGAAAAAATATCACCTCGGCCAGAATTTGGCTGAAAAGAAATAAAATAAATAACAGCGAAATCTTATCGATACGTGTTTCATATCGTATATGTATGACTATCACATTAAAACTGGTTTTAAAAAATGCATATTGTTTACAAATAAAGCAACCGAGGCAAAAGGCGTGCGATATCACTTCAGCTGACATTTATCTAACTCTAAATTACAGTGTGCCATTGTCTGACTCGATTTCGTGGGATGCCTTCGGAATTTAAGATTTGTTTTTTTTTTCTTATGCAAGGATTTGTTTCAAGATTGACAATGAGAGGTTAAAGTTTGTCGTGTAACAGAGACCACCAGATTGTCCGATATGCGTATCAAGCGGCGTAATTGAAGCGATCAGTCAATGACTAAATCAAGTTGCTAATTATTCACTATTTGATACGTGCATCAAACGGTCGGTGTAAACCAGAGGGTTTACTTGAAGCATCGAGAGGTTAAGTTTGCCGCGTGATAAAAGATACGTGTATATTCGGGTGCTGTTACCTTCGGACATTTTTATTACGTCAAAGACGACAAGCGACAAGTGACAGCTAACGAGACACCGCAATTAAACGCAATGGTGTCGTACAAATCTCACAAAATATAAACACCGGTCGGTAACCGGTCAGTCGGGCGCGGGAACGAGTCATGAGATCTCGCGCATCGTGCATCGTCATTGAAGATAGGACAGCGTGTCGTTTAACAGCTCCTGCACGCAGAACGCGGCAAC